TTCCTAGGGATCTTATAAATATGCAGAAATCCTTACCTTGTCTGTGGGTGTCCCTGTTTTACTACTTTATTGATAGGCGCTTGACCATGAAGCTTGGTACTGTGAGGGAACAAGATGCAGGCGCGGGAATAGGTTTGAAAACCTCCAGGTGGATCCTGGAGTTCTTCCAGAATTAAAGCTAATCTCCATACTACAGAGATCAGTTCCCTTGGAGAAAACGGCAGCTTCAGAGGGTGAACTCTATGGTATACCATAGACACCAGGTGAAATCCCTCCCCAAATTACTCTCTCTACAGACAATACCCCCAAATCTTCTGGAATTTCCCAAGCCAGAGCTGACAACCCTATGAGATGGTCAATAAGCATGCTCACTGAGAGCCAGTTTGGTGTACTGGTCAAGAGCAGTGGACTCTAATCTGGAGAACGGGGTTTGATTCCCCACACCTCCACCTGAAGCCTGCTGGGTGACCTTGGGTCAATCACAGTTCTCCCAGAGCTCTCTCAGCCCCACCTACCTCACAGGGTGTCAGTTATGGGGAAAGGAAGGGAAGGTGATTGTAAGCGGCTCCGATACTCCTTCAGGTAGCGCAGGGAGGGGTATCAAACCAACTCCTCTTCTACTGAGCAGGCCACTTTGTACACAGGATCCATCCAGGATTCTCCGAGTTCTCAGGAACTTGAACCGGCTATCATCTTTTTCTCTTTTTTTTTAAGTACCCATAAGGTACACTTTTATTATTTTTCATATTAGACACAAACAAACATACTACATAACATACATCCACTTACACACATAAAACATACAAAGAGATCAGTATATTATCTTTTGCCATATTCAAAACTCTATTGCCATATTTAAAGAATTTCTATAAGTGTGCTTAAGTTTCTGTATACTCTTATCTTTTTACCATAGATTCTATTTAACTAAAAAAGATTAATAATACCAAAAATTTCATTACTTTAAGCTATGCATTTATATTGTACCAATCATACAGTTTTTTCCACGTCTTTTGAATTGTTGGGTCTGTTGTCGCTCTCATCAACGATGACAATTTGTCATTTTCAGCCGTCTCCAACAGCCCTGGATCTAGGTCTAGCCAAATGGTCATAATACTTACTTGTGCCTGTTACTGTCCCTGTGAAAAAGTCATGTCTACTTAGGCCTTGAGGCACTGGGGAAGCAGATGTAAAAGCCTTACTTCCAAGAAGCACTTTTAACCTATATGTATGTGTGTGTACAGAGGAGTGCTATTGATATTATCAGACTGTGGTCTCCAGTGAATCAGCATGTTTACACATGTAATGTTATGAATGTAAGGAATACTAGAATATCTTTTTATAAGTCTTTGTTAAGTGAAAATGGCATTTGATAATTTTATTTAATATTTTTGAAGTGAAACAGCACACTGTTGAGTCATTTTGATATTTGAAACTGTTAGATTATATGATTATGATATAAAAGTTGCATGGCAATGTATCATGCCCTGAAGTTTTATGCTCTGCACATTTCTTTCTCTTACATAAAATAATAACAACATTACCCAAGGCAGATGATCCTCAATTGGCTTACCTCATGAGCTTGTAAAAGTCACTTCACTTATATTTACCTGTCTTTAACGCAAGGTTAATGATATATGTGAAGCAAGCAGATGTTGAGAACATCTCTGTTTGGTGGACAACCTTGATATGATCAGAAATGAAGTACTACCTTGCTTTGTTTTTGTTGGGAGCTGACACCTGGCCCCGACTCGGCCCCTCCCTGGCTACACGAGAGCCGTGTACGTCCAGAGGCCTGACCCACCCCATGGGAGGAGGGCCAGCAGAGGGAGGTGGTGGCTGGAACCCAGGCAGAAAGCTCTGACCGAGCTGATGAGGATGGTAGCCAGGCAGTGGTGGGGATGGATGTGGCCAGAAGGCAACGCTGAACCCAGGTTATGGGAAAGCCAGCATGAAACAGAGTAACAGACAGTCCTAAGCAGCCAGGGGAATGAGTAGGGCGGGGAGTCAGGCAGCAAGGGGAAGAAGTGGCGGAAGGATCCCTTCTCCTTTTAGCGCCTCCCAGGCAGAGTAGGTGGAAGGGGATTGGATAGAGGCCAGTGCGGGGGGGGGGGGGCAGGGAGTCCCATAAAAGGGAAGGCACTACACCCAGCCAGGGAGGAAGGAAAGGACTGAGCTTCTACAAGCAGAGAGAGAGAGAAGACCAGAGTGGGCCATTCGAAGGAAGGAAGGAAGGAAGGAAGGAAGGAAGGAAGGAAGGAAGGAAGGAAGGAAGGAAGGGGACCAGAGTGCCAGAACCTCCTCTCCTTCCAGATCTGAGGCTGGAGTAAGGGCCTCCTCCTCACCGTCCTTTTGTCTGGGGAAACAACAGAGTGCGGAGAGACTGCCCTGCGGAGAGGGACGTCTTACAGTTTTCCCATTCACACTGCACACAGACTCAAAAAATAATCTTCTCGTTAACAGCATGTGCAAAGTTCTTGCTTTGCAGCAAATCATTATCATCATCGCTATATTTAAGAGTCAAATAAGTATTTTGTGCCAGTCACAAAAGCAGTAAAACAAAGCCACCCATAGACAGTGTAGCGATCCCACATATTCAGGGGATTCCCTAGGGATGCTGAAAAATATGACTTCATACATTAGCTGAAAAAAAGGAGGGTGGAAATTTGCCTGATGAGGACTGAGCGTATTCTAGGAAGCATAGAACGTTGTAAGTTAAGAGGGGGAACCTGGAGGAGAGAAGATGATAGATTTTTGATAGTACACCTATCTACTGCAGCAAGAATATTATATGCAAAAGATGTTGAGCTTCAAGCCCACTTTTATGCTCTCCTCTTTTACCCTGAGCAAGAGGAGCTTTACGTCCTCTTCACTTTCCTCCTACCTGTGCTCAAATTCAAAAATTCCTATAGGCTCAACAAGATTGCCAAGTCAAAGTTCCCCAAATAATAGTGCTACTGGTAACAGCCCTAGAAAACATGGGTGTGGGGAGGAGATGTAAAGAATAAAACACAATGTCTTAGCCACACGTACAAGAAGAACAGACAGTTCCTCCACTCGATAGCACGATCTATAAGCACTGAACAGACTTCTTCTAATAGGGTCTCTCTGAGCCTAGGACGTCTGCCAAATCTATGCAAAACCAAAACAAAAGCAAGCTACTCTTCTTGCTTAAAAGGTATAGCTTTTATTTTTTTTAACATGCTTATTGTATAAAATTTCAGGTAATAAAATTTACAGTTATTGCACAGCATTTCAGAATAATTGTGGTTTGTTTCTTTTTTAAATACAAGGCACAATCCAAAAACAAATAACCTGAGAAATTCTAAGTAGAATTAAGCCCCCCTCCCCCTTTGATATGCAAGGATATATTTTTTTGTTCAAGTAATCCACAGAGCCAAAAACTCTGACATTTATACTAGAGTAACATACAGTTATAAGATGATTCCGTAAGCAATCTGCTTTTAAGACTGAGGCACTGACAGATTCAGACAAATCTGCCTAGAATCAAATTTTATGGTGTTTCAAGGAAGGAGTTTGGGAGTGTTCCCCAAGTATCACTAATTTTCAGTGAAATGTTGACCTGGGAGCTTAATGTCTATGGAAAGTACATGTGTACTTAGCATCTAAAGGTCATTTTTCTTCTTTGAAGCCATACTCTTTCGTGTCAAAGCTCCCAGTTACACAGATGACTTTAGGCCCACAGAAATCAACAACTAAACTCCTTGCAACAAGTCAGGATTCCTTCCCACAGTAAAAGTAATACGGAAACATCATTCAGAAGCTGCACCATTACATTCTCAGTGTTATGACAGTTCTACAGCAAGTAGTTTGATATGTACACAATGTGAAATTTCAAAGCAATGAAAAATTGAAGAATTCAGATGACTATTTTTTGTTGTTTTAAAAAAGAATGAACGACAACATTTATTCAGATGTTCTCACTCAGTCCACACAACAGAGGATGAATGACACAAGTATTTGGGCCACATCTAAAAGACAACCTGAAGCCTTGCCTTTTGCGGCCTTTCTCTCTAATGTGTTTTGATTTGCAAAACTGTTACCACTCAGTCGCAAGGGAGGCACATGGGGTATGAAACACAGACCTTTTTATGTAGGGTAATCAAGTACATGAAAGCACTGGGCCTCTGAGCCTTTAATGGCGAGGCAGAAGAGTGAATTTCAACCCATGTAGCATAGTGATAAGACAAGTTGCACCGTTCGAAATTCCCTCTTCTGTATAGTATTAAAAGTACCAAAGCTCTACACTGTTTTCCCATGTTATCTTCATGTAAGCAGACTGTTTGATGATCAATAATTTTATCTGGGACAATACAACTGATGATGTTTGTAGATATGTGTACACTTCCCTGGTTGGTTGGTCAGAAATAGAGTTAATTCATTTCTTAAAGCACCTTGAATGAAGAATCCAAAAGAAGCATGCCTGCACCGAGAATAGGAATAGAGACTCCACTTATAAAGGGGAAGAAAATCAGGTGCGGTGAAGGATGTCTATCTCACACACAAACTGCAACTTTTGAAGCTTGATTGAATGAGGGCATCTACTCTAAGGGCTCATTGGACTAAGAATCAGAAAAAAAATTACTATATAGAGGAGGCCTTAAAAGTGATTTTTAGATCTGAATTAAGCATCACCTTTGTGAGGTAGATAGTTAATTGGCCCCACTGTGTAAACTGACACACAAAAGTTAAGAAACTTGCTCCCATATCCAACAGCATGTCATTAGAAAGGCAAGGGAAATGATCCAAAAGGTGCATGTGAAGAGTTTCTACCCCTTCCTCTTAGTGAATTTCCCTTCTAGGATCTTTTATACCCAATCCTTCAAGGAATTAGGAATTAATAGGAGTTTTCAAAAACCACCTGTGTCTTTGGATTTTACTAAAGAATTCAGACTCCAAAACAACTTTATTTCTATCTAAACCAAGGAACAATATCAAAATGGGAACAAAAGAGAGCACAGATTCACACCCATGAACGGAGACTGAGATTTTGGCTTGGCTTATGACCAGTGCTTATGAGGCATATAGCTGTGTGCAAGTTTCATTATAAATGCCAGATGTGTTGCCTGCCTCTCATGGTAGAAGTAAATGGAAATCCTGGTAAACCAAAATGCTTCCGAGCCCTTCAATAAATTATTGTTTTATTGACAGTCAAACATGGCCATATAATTCTGTCTCACTCTCTTATATATAGCTGTATTCCTGCCATACATTTTCACTTCTTGGAGGAATGTTGAAATATTCAAAACTGCCTTGTCATATAAAGCTCTCTCTGCATTTTGGTGAAGAGACAAAGTCTAACAGTAGTATATGTAAGAGAATGACAAGGCCTGCAGAGTTTATCTGGCATCTTCAAAGCCTGTAGCTCAATTCTGCAAGGCACTGGCTCCAAATTCCTTCTCAACGCCCTCCTTTGCATTTCACTATACTTCTGTGGAGTCGTCCATTTCACTAAACAACAGAAAACAGCTTTCATAATTTCACAGTTGTGCCTTAGAGCACTTTAACAGAATCTTATAAGCAATGGCAAAAGTAAGGAGATGTGGAACTGGTTGCTGCTTGGATGGGAGATCACTTGGTAAAAAAGGTAAAGGTTTCCCTTGCTCGAAAGCCAGTCGAATCCGACTCTAGGGTTGCGGTGCTCATCTCCGTTTCAAAGCCGAAGAGCCAGTGCTGTCCGAAGACATTTCCGTGGTCATGTGGCCGGCATGACTAGACGCCAAGGCGCACGGAACGCTGTTACCTTCCCACTGAAGTGGTACCTATTTATCTACTTGCAATTTCTTGCTTTCGAACTGCTAGGTTGGCAGGAGCTGGAACTAGAGACGGGAGCTCACTCTGTCATGCGGCACACTCAGGTCTCGAACTGCTGAACTACCGACCTTCCACAGCCTGCAATTCAGCGTCTTAACCACTTGAGCCACTGCAACTCCTAGATCACTTGGAGTTCCTTGTAAATCCCTCTTAGAATGTTAAAGAAAAATGGAATATGTATATTTAAAATCAAGTTGGAAGCTCAAGACAGGATTTACTGACCAACGGATGTATGGTCATCCCATTGCAGAACATTTACTTGTTAATCAAGCCAAAAAATGTCGCAGGTTGTTCCCACAAAACAATTGTAGTTTGGGCGTGGTTTATACCATGTGTTTCAAACACAGGAATCACTAAGTGGCCAACTGACAAGTAGATATGGATGTAGATTTCTTGTGTGGCTTCCCCATCCCCCCACCAGGACGTGTGCGTGCACACAAAAGCTCACACCTTGAATAAAACTTGGTTGGTCTTAAAAATGCCCCACTGGACTCCGACTTTGTTCTGCTGCTTCAGACCAGCACGGCTGCTCCCACCTGAACGTGTTTTTGTAGCGTTTGTTTTATTTACAGATATAGCACAGGTGGAGGCAAAGTGGCAAACCTTCAGGGCAGCAGAACAGCTACCAACATCAGGTTCCCCAAAGAGACAGAGATCCGGGGCATCCAACATACTTCATGCAACTCTTGAGCACAGCAGGGGCAGATTAGCCATGAAGCAGACTGAGCACGTGCTTAGGGCACCAGGGCCAAAGGGGGCACCACAAAGTTGGGGAAAGGGTGAAAAGCTTAGTTTTGGTACAGTCTATTGTGTTATCATCATATGAATAAATTTTTGTGTTGCTGCAACCTGCATTGTATATCTGGTCAGACAGGTCAACAACTAAAATGGACGGGGGTCAGTGTGGAAAGGAGGGGGGCACCAAGATTGGTCAGTGCTTAATCTGCCCCTGAAGCACAGTCTTTCTGTTTCTCTTTCTCAGCCTCTTCCAGCATCTAAAACTGCTCTCTCTCTCTCTCTCTCTCTCTCTCTCTCTCTCTCATGCCTACTCCCTGCACCTCATCTCTCCCAAGCCCTGATGGGTACTTGAACAACCAATTTTCTAACAATTAAGGCCAACTGAGAAGAGTCTTTAAGACGTAGTACCATTCAATTGTCATACAGGATAAATCAGAACCCAAGCTAATGGCATTCTGTATCAAGTCCCGTATAACTGGCTCCTTTTAAAGGAAATCAGACCAGAACATGATATTAGATCTTCTGTTCAAGACATCCAAGCAGTGGAGATAAGCAAAGGTTCCGACATCAAATTATATAGTTGTTAAGTCTTTGTTCAGCATGCTCAAAAGCACCAGTCTACTCAGAAATGGTTGGATCTCATATCATTGAAGAGCAGTGTTTGTGGAAGAAGAAAAACTAGTCCCAAGGGCATCTCTAAGCCAAGAAGATCACAGTTTCCCTGAAAGTCAACTTGCAGTCTAAACTCCTGTCTTCTTTGTCTCTTAGGGCCAAACTAGACTTTGAATTTTACACCAGTTTGCCACAGGGTCTTCCGGCCATACTGCAGCTATGAGTTCCCGCTGGAAATTCCATTCAGGAGTGCTGCAGTGACGCAGTTTGGACCAGGAGCATAGTGCAAGGGCAGAGGGACATTCCCCCCCTGCACCGTTTTTCAGAGCTGAAATGGCCCCAGGGGAGTGTGATTTGCCCTATTGGAGGATGCCTCCCTGGGTCATGTTGGAGTGCAGGGGGGGCAGAAACCCCGCCTTCCCCCATGCCATCATCCCAATCTGAATTGGGCCCCTGGAGCACTTCTAAACGGAGTTGCCACCAGCCCCTCTGGTGAACTTTTATCAAACGTAGTGTCTAGTTTGGTCCTGAGAAGAATCATGCCTAAGACAAAAAGTACCTACCTTAGTTGATTCCGTAGCCTCCTCTCTTTGTGTTTCAGATGCAGATTCTTAATCCTTCTGGGGACATCGGGTACAAACCATGCTGCAATCAGTTTTATGCACAAGGCCACATGCTGCAAAGAGCCAATGGCTAGATCAGATTTTGTTCCTTGCAAGAAAGTAGCTGCAGTCAACATCTAGACAGCCATAGGTGTAGACTACGGGGGGGGGGGGGGGGCGGGATGTGTGGAGCGGGGGGGGGGGGCGGCTCGGGGGCTAAGCCCCCCAGCTGCTGACTTTAAAGGGTGGGAAACTTACAGGGCTCTCCTTGCTTCCCCCTCATTTAGAAGCAGGGGGAAGCGAAAGGGAGCTCTGAAGAGGCAGCCCGCCCTTTAAAGCCACTTTCAGGGCTCCTCCTCCCCGGGGGGAGGGAGCGAAAGGGAAGCCACTTCCGCCCTCCCTTTGGCTTCCTCTCCCCCCCCCCGCTTAGAAGGGGAGGGGGGGAGCCAAACTGACCATTCTAATGGCTGCCCACCAGTAGAGAGGTCCTCTCTCTCTTTCCTTTTTCTTCTTATTTCCACCCCTTCCTTCCTCTCTCTCCATCTATTTTCTTTCTTTCTTTCCATTTCTTTCTCTTTCCATTTTTCCCTTTCTTTCTCCCTTTCTTTCAGTTTCTTTCTTTCCCTTCGCCCTTTCTTTCTTTCCTTTTCTTTCAATTTCTTTCTGCCCTTGTTTTCTTTCCTTTCCATCTTTCTTTCTTTCTTTCTTTCTTTCTTTCTTTCTTTCTTTCTTTCTTTCTTTCTTTCTTTCTTTCTTTCTTTCTTTCTTTCCCTTTACTCTTTTCTGTCTTTCTTGTTTCTTTCCCTTTCCCCCTTTCTGTCTTTCAATTTCTTTATTTCCTTCATTCCCTTCCCCCTTCCTTCCTTCCTTCCTTCCTTCCTTCCTTCCTTCCTTCCCCTTCATTTCCTATTTTCCATTTCAAGGACCTAGCACAGCAATGCCTTTGGCCCAGCTCCACCCCCCCCCCCGAAATTGGAAAGTCTACACCCTTGTACGCAGTGACCAACGGTAGCCAATGCAGTCTGCTGTGCTCATTTGCTTAAACAAACAGGAATGAGGAGGAATCACAGGCAAAAAACAGGAATAACTCCGCAGAGACATTTTTTTGTCTCTGGGGAGTTAATCGTGCTCATTTGCTTAACAATGGCTTTTTGGATGATCAATTGTTTCATTGCTACATCATGAAACTCAGCGATGTAGATCCAAATCAAGCTTTTACTACATTCAATATAGACCCTTCCACTGACTGTGAAAGAACTGGTCTGGGAGGCTTTTAAACCCACCACTGTGCTAACAATGTAACACCCCAACAATAATTCGATATGGGCCTCCTATTCCCGGAAGCTAAGACTGCCACTCTCTTGCTGACTGGCAAGAAGCTGGGCTTAGATAACAGGCTGAAGCAGGCTTGGCCTGGCCAGTACTGGGATGGTAGATGAGCTGGAGCCCCGTTTACAGGCACACCCTGACCTCTGTTGAGTTAGGGCAGGACAGAGATGCTACAAATAATAAATGAACAGCTCCATGTAAGGGAATTTGGGGCAGGCTGGTTTCTCTAGCCATAAAACTGGGTCCAGTTGTGCAGTGCAAGTTTCCACACCCAACAGATCGATACAGTCTGGCTGTTATGGAGCTCTTGAAAGAGGCAGTAGATGTAGGTTTCTTCTCTTCTATGCTAAGTATCAGTTAAACATGCATGTCATCCTACTGAAGCCCAGGACTTCAAGCCAACTGAGTGGAGCTGGTGCACCTGGAAGCTTTTTCTTTAGTGCCTTTCTTATCAATAATTGGTTAGGAACAGCACAGCTGCAAGCTTATCAAAAGGACCAATTCACAGCGGAAGCACCCAAGGTCATAATGCGCCTAAAGCAGCACCCCTTAAGCAGATGCAGTGCTCCTACTCCCCAAATCAACCTGTGGGGACTCTGCCAGAGACTGCCTTCCACAGCTTTTTACCTAGGACACTTACTTCGAACAAGATAAGGAAGACAAGGCGCGCTGCAAAAACATGCCAGAACTCAACAGTGTAACTGTAGTCATCGCTGTTCCGGTAATCTCTGTACCTGCAGGAAGGGGTACAGTAAATCATAAATGCTCCACTGTGCACTGTCTCACCCACCCTTCTATTTCCATACTTTTTTTTTCAGAGGCAGATAACAAAGAGGGGAAAATAATGATCAATACTCAGTCTTTACTCATCATTTAGTAACGAAAGAGCACTGTTCTCAGCTGGGCTTCCAAGTCCAGGCAGCATTTAAGTTATTACTTAGATTCACATTCCTTTTATCGGAGGATGCAAGCTCTGCCTCCTTGTCCCTCCCTCTTCCTTGCAAGTTCTACTGTTGCTCTTTGCTCTTCAGAAAGGGTGGATGGAATGATTATATATCAGTAGACCTCTGGATGGGCAACACTCCAGCAGGCCGCTTGCAGCTGTAGACCGACTGGTTGGGAAGGACTCCATTTCAAGAAACTGGCTGAAGCTCTTCCAACTCATTAGGAGACCTGGTGGCAGGAAGTCCACCCTAGCAAACAGACCCAGTGTCCCTGCTGTGTCTGTTCATAAAATTGCAAGGGGCACGGAAAGAAATTAATGTTCTTCCTTAAAAAGAAACTTAATTCCCAGCTATGAAACCTGGAACTGGAATCAGCATTTCCAGATATTTCCAGGCACAAACATTTTTTTTTTACCATTTTGTGTCCTGATAAAACATGATATAGGCTGCGGTCACACGGAGCATTAGGCACGCTAGAGGGACGGAAGATAGGCGGATTTTCCGGGCACGATCTCACCGCCACATCTGGGAAGCGTCGAGCTCCCGTGGCTCACCCAAGGTTTCCCGCTGAAGATGTGGGGTAAAAAACTAGTACCTTGGAGGTACTAGTTTCCTGAAACCGCGGGGCAAGGGCGGGCGTCTGATCGGGTTTCCGGTGGTAGTTCCGGCGCCCACCCATGTCCCCTCGCAAAAAGGTGTGTTTTTTTTCAAAGTCTCCACGGATGCGCACAAGCATCCAAGGGAGCATGCGCACATTTGAGTTTAAAAAACCCCCAACAACCCCGTTTGCCCCCGCGCCCCACTTCTTTGCCGTGCCGCAGGACTGTGGAGTAATCGGCACCTCCCCCCTACCACGGGATCTCCACGGTAGATCTGCTTGCGCAACCGCACGTTCTTTAGCCCCGGGGCAAACAGCCACGCCTCCCCCCCACAATATCCGTCCCGTTTGACCGGGGCCATAAATAGGCATTTTAGATGAACTATGCCAAAATATCTGCCCTCCACTGATATCAGATTACACAAAGCCATCAAGATCAAAGAAGTTCTACCATTTTCAGCACTCAAGGCTCAGGCACTGACTTTACAAAAAGAGGAGGCTGGTCTCTGCCAGTTAATCACCATCCGAATCCATACGCAGTGTAATTGGGATGGAATGAAAGCCATCTCCAGAGCACCCCAGCATTAGGCTGGTTTTCCATGCATTGGGTTGTTGCAGGAAGGTGAGCCAAAATTAGTGTAAAGGTCTCAGTTTCGTTTCTCTTCATTTTGCTTCACTGTTCACCTTGCCATGCTTTTGGGGGGGGGAATTCCTGAGGGGAGTGTGCGTGGGTTGAGTGCCTGACTGTTGTAGCCATAGTTTCTTAAGTAGCACCCCTTGGCCTGTTCTCATGGGATTTGGCCTTGGAGACTCTTTCGCTAGGCTGGAGTTAGGCTTACCAAATTCCAGCGGGGGAATTGTATTTCCTGGCAGGAGCCTGGCCGCGGGGACGGCTGCACGCACTGCACCCGCCGTCGCCATCCTGCCAGAAAATACAATTCCCCCGCCGGAATTTGGTAAGCCTAGCTGGAGTAGATAAGACACCGTATATCTGTCATGGTTGTCACAGAAACGCTACTGACCAAATGCTGACGTATGCACGGGGTGTGGGGACGCATTGGGTTTTACCTATAACCTCTGAATTCCACATGCTTTTTCTTCAGTTCTGACAAAGAATCAGCTCCTGTAGTAAGCATATCCTCTAATAAAGCATCACTGCCAAAAGTGTTGTGGAGAGTGTTTTAACTGGGGATCTGACGATTAGTTACATGCACATTTCAGTACAGCCACACCGTTATAGGGCGGTACTGATAATGTGAAAGAAAACGAGGCTTAGGCACATATTCTGCTTAATGGACTGGTCTGTCAGGCTTCTGTCGTGAAGCTCAGAATATGGAAGCAAAAGCACACTGTTGCCAGTACCTGCAGTGTGTTATTTTATTTCCCGTGGAGTCTTTAAGATCTGACAGGTCATTGCGATTCTTGAGGTCCTGGACGGAGAATACTGAAAGGCTGTGGTGCACATAACCTGTCAAACAGCTATAAGCAGGCAAAAAAGAAAAAGACAAGAAGGAACATTAACTGGGGTGCAATAGTGTCCTAGGCAAAATATGCAGGTTACAAGACTCTGGCAAAGTTTAGAAAAGAAAAGTGTTCAGCAACGCACTGATTTTTGATCTTATGTATTTTATTTGTATACATTTTCTCAGAGCAGATGCATCAGACTTGGAACTGTTGATGTGTTGACTAGTCCATCATTTTATCTTTCGTCTTAAAGTGATGAAATAAATGGAGCCCATTTCTGCATTTTATATAACATAAAGTACAATGATTTGTATTAAAAAGATTCCTAACTACTTGTGAAAATATCTAGCCTGAGCTTGCGTTTACTTGAAGACTCTTCCCTGATGTCATTGTGGGGGGGGGGGGGGAGATTTGTTATGTATCTATTTCCATTAAGTTACGAAGCATTTTAAAATAGGGTGGATCAGTGCAGTTCAGTAGTTAGAGGGTTAGATTAGGATAAGTAGGGCTATTTTGGGGCAGGAACGCACAGGAACGGAGTTCCGGCTGGCTCCCAAGTTGACTACGCCCAGCAGGAACTCATTAGCATAATAGGCCACACCCAATAGCAGAAACTCATTAAGATTGGCTACATTAGGGGTGTGGCCTAACATGCAAAGGAGTTCCTGCTACAAAAAAAGCCCTAGGTTTGGACAACAAAGAAGGTAAACAGAATAAGAAGCAAAAGGTGGGTGTGGCTGGATGAGCACACTTCTGGTAACATGTGGGTGCGGCCTAATATGCTAATGGGCTATGCTCTCATGGGTGTGGCCGGATATGCGAATGAATTTCTGTTGTTGGGTGTGGCCTATTATGCTAATGAGTTCCTGCTGGGCTTTTTCTACAAAAAAAGCCCTGAGGATAAGGGTGACCCCGGGTTGACCCCCGACTCTGCCATGGAGCTCACCGAGTGACCTTGGGCTCTCTCGACCTATAACTGACCTCACAGAATGGTTGTTGTGAGAATAAAATGGAGAAGGGAGAATAACACTGTAAACTGCTTTCAGTCCCCATTGAGGAAACTAGTGGGATATAAACAGATTTTTAATCAATCCTCTACCCTAGATTTTTTTCCAGATAGAATAAGATTCTCTTTAAAAAAAAAAAAACTTGCTTAAATAACATTGGGAAAACAGCTTTGTCATCATATAGCAAAACAGTTCAGGTTACAGACTGAAACTAGTGGCCACAGATGGGCAAGTCAATCCAGTGTCATTCAGCTCATCCATCTGGATGAACTTTTACTCCTATTTTATGCCTAGTAACAACCTGATAGGCATTTTACTTCCTCGGGTGCATTCAGATGGCAGCTAATCCCGTCATTATGCCATCTTTAATTTTATCCTGATCTTTTTAATCCATCGTAGCACGACCAGACATCCCCCTAGTGAATCGCCTTACCGCACACTGCCTCCGTTTTGGATTGTCTAGATGGCGTCCACTGAAGGAGGCATGCGCGGTGGGTTTCTTTAAAAAAAAATTGTGCATGCGCAGAGGCGTCACAGCCCGTCCTTGTTGAAGGAAGAGTGCGGTGGTTTGTTTGTTTTTTAAACTTTTTGCACATGCGCATAGACGTGACAGCACATCCTTGTTGATCCGCGCATGTAGAGATTTTTTAAAATGGCACCCGCTCGGGATGGTCTGACATCAGACCACCCCGATGGGAGGATTGTGCGCTGGTGGAACGATCAGATGGGTGAAAGTCTGCAGTTGTCCCGCAGGTAACTGAAAACCCCAGATTTAAAGGGCTATCTTTTAAGTACGGCTCCGAAGCGCGGCAAAACGGGATACCCATGGAAGAGGGACATTTCCCAGATGTTTGTGTCTGGACATTACCTATAGATCTGTGAGGCAATCATGCCTCGCACGGATCTAAAGAGCCATCTGATCGGACTCCTTGTCTCACGGAGAACATTAATCCACCCAGAAGCTCTTACCAGCCCTTGCTTTCAGTTGATATCATTTAATTTTGTGCAGTGGGGGTTATAGAACAAGACAGGGCATGGCAGTTACATGACCAAGGAGAGAAGACAGACTAAAGCACAGGAGACCCACTGGGAAGAAGAAGCTCGGCCTTCTAGAGCCGAATCTAACCCACACTCGCCCTCAAAACCCACCATGGTGGCCGGATGCAAATCAGAGCCTATCTAGCAAGGTGCTGTGTATCGCTTTGTGTCTGTGGCACATCCCTGCAACGCAAAAGTTTCTTTCTGTGATGCAAGGCTGTTTTGCATGTTCTTATCAATGGAACATACCCTTGTGCTGGAGAAACACACCAGGCATGCTGTTGCCAGTGGAATGGAACGAGGCTAACTTTTAAAACATCTCACTCACCCTTGCCACACTTTGCCCACTTTAAATAGTACTAACTTTTGGACTGCCAGGAGATCGAATCAGTCAATCCTAAAAGAAATCAACCCTGACTGTTCCCTGGAAAGCCAGATACCGAAGCTGAAGCTCAGATACTTTGGCCACCCAATGAGAAGGGAGCACTCGCTGGAGAAGAAGACCCTGATGCTGAGAAAGATTGAAGGTCAGAGAAGAAGGGGGCAGCAAAGGATGAGATGGTTAGACAGTGTCATCGAGGCAACAGAGATGAAATTGAGCTAACTCCGGAGCATGACGGAAGACAGGAGGGCCTGGCGTGACGTGGTCCATGGGGTCGCGAAGGGTCAGACTCAACTGTGCGACTGAACAACAACAAAAAACTTCTTGTCACTTTTCCTAGCTCTTCCCACACCCTCCAGGATGTGAGACCTACTTTACAGATGATCTCTCTCACACACAGTTCTTCAGCAATGTGGGAGGGGCTTCAGCTCTAAGAAAATCACCACAATAATGATCACAGTGCTGCTAATCCGCTCTTGCATGGCACTCACTTGATGCCAGTGTAGTTCTCCCGTACACATGGGCCGAGTGTGTATTTATACACTTGCATGGGGATGAAGTCTGAGGTGATGGAAATCACCAGGCCGTTGGCGATGACAGCCAAAATACCAATCGCTTCCAGGATCTGCAGCCAGATACCTGCAAAGGGGGGGGGGGAGGGAGAGAGATTCCCTTGGTCAGCTTCATGTTGAGAACATGTCCCCCCCCCCCAAGCTTTCAGCCCTTGATAAAGAATGTGCTTATTGGTCCCATGGCCAAGGCAATTACAACAGGGAAAGGAAATAAACAGATCCATTCCCTCCTTTCATTCTCCCACCAGTTTCTAACTGAGTTCTTATATAAGGTGTCAGTGCCAAATTCAGACCCGGAGAGAGCCCCTAAAGTCAGTAGCTTTAAGCGAGAAAAGCTGGAGCCTGGTGCGCAGCTAGCACAACACGTTGCCCTGTTGGCCAAGCAAAGGCAGGAGGGCAGCCTCCGAGTATCTGTTCCAGGTTTGGCCATTTGAAGTCAGTCTTAGGCTTCCTTCCCCAGCCAGTCACAACCAATGTTCCCTCTAAGCCGTGGAGTTGTGTGAGCAAAAATGTTAATTTGTGAGCTGCTGGCATGAAACAAAAATCTGTGAACTGGAGGCTAGAAAACTGTGAGCTAGCTCACACTAACTCAGCTTAGAGGGAACACTGGTCACAACAGATGTGGCAAACTGCCTCTGGGGCTTGAGCACACGCAATCAAGGTTAGTTCTCCAGAATACGTCCAAGTCTCAGATGCTAACGATTCCTTCTCTGCTTGGCTCATTCCCCTCCTAATGCTGAAGCCTACACAGCTTGTTTAAACTGTCTCCCCTGGCTTTATCTTGGGGGGGGGGCCCTCTGCGCATGTCACGTGGACCCAGTAAAGGCCTTTGAAATCTTGTGTCCTCACAATATCTGGGATAAGAGTATACCCAAGTAGCAGAGTATCAGTAAGTGCAATTCTCATGGCTGCCCCCCCCCCCCAGTTTATATAAGATGTGTGTCTATACTATTCTGAGCATCACCTTACCGATATCCTTGGCTTTCCTGGGCACCATACGCCTCTGCAGTTTCACCATCTTGATAGCATCGCACCGAATTTCAATGAGGTTGTTGAAAAAGGCCAGCAATGGGGCAAGAGGGAAGGAAGCCACAAAAATGGTGGTGAAGCTGTATTGGATTGCTGAGGATTTAGAACACAGTACATTGAAGAGAAGTACTGAATGACAGACAACATTCTAGCATGTATTATGCTCCTGGCCCTCCAGAGATGCACCGTAGCCCAGTAGCTGCACACCAGAAGCAGACTGGTACAAACCTAAGGACTGTTCCTATCATTACCTGTTTTTATGTGAGTCCAAGATTGGAGTGTTTCAAGCCCAAGAGTTGAATTATTTTCCCAGTGGCTTTAGCACCAAGGAAGAAGAAAGCAACAACAGATGTTGCCAAGGCTGTGTGTATCCCACAATTCTGAGACTGCATTTCACATGCAGAACTGGTTCCAGACACAGAATGTGGCATCCTCAGAATTTCAACTTTCATGTTTCAAGCAAACATAATATTCCTTAAGGAGGCAAAGATGATCTCAAAACTGTGTGGCCATTGTTTTCAAATCTTTGCCAAAATGGAGAAGAAGTATGTAAGCCTTCCAGTAGTGGGGTGGCAGATTTTAGTTCCCTGTACAGATTTTTGCCTCTCCCCACATCAAGTAAAAACAGAATAAAGGTAAAGGTAAAGGTTCCCTTGCTCGAAAGCCAGTCGAGTCCGACTCTAGGGTTGCGGTGCTCATCTCCGTTTCAAAGCCGAAGAGCCAGCGCTGTCTGAAGACATTTCCGTGGTCATGTGGCCGGCATGACTAAACACCAAGGCGCACAGAACGCTGTTACCTTCCCACCGAAGTGGTACCTATTTATCTACTTGCAATTTCTTGCTTTCGAACTGCTAGGTTGGCAGGAGCTGGAACTAGAGACGGGAGCTCACTCCGTCATGCGGCACACTCGGGTCTTGAACTGCTGAACTACTGACCTTCCACAGCCTGCAGTTCAGCGTCTTAACCACTTGAGCCACCGCAGCTCCTTAAAAACATAATAAAATTATGCAAAATACTTATTTCAAATATGTATTTTAAAATGGTTATTTAAAGTGTTTTTTTTTAATCTGAAAGGCAGTTTATGATGGGGGGGGGGGTTTTGCTATCAAGTTGCAACCCAGTAATGGTGACCCCACAGAGCTTTCAAGGCAAGAGACCATCCGAGATGGTCACCATTTATACGAATGTTGTGGTTATTCTTCTCTAAGCATGAAATCACCACACCTTTGGCATTCCATTTGGAACCTACCACACCAAATAAAGTGTGGACAGAGAGGTGGACAGAACTACCCCAAATTAGCAGGAGATGTGCAAATTAGCAAACTTGCATAAATTTGAGTCTAGTAGCACCTTAGAGATTTTTCACCGTGTAAATCTTGCCCGTCTCAAGGTTGTTTCTGGACACAAATCTTAACTCTTCTACTGTTGACTGACACAGCTAACCCTCTGGAACTAGCTTTTCTTACAGTGAAATTTGTGGTTTTTATTGCAGAGAGTATACCTAAGCCAAAGTATACCTAAACCACTGTTCCAAAGTTCTCAGCATAATCTAAATTGTGTTGCTCTCTAAAACGAGTGACAGATCACACTTTCTCCAGAGAATGGAAGGTTATATGAGAGAAGCTTCATGTAGTACACACATATCCCCCCTCCCCCATTCTCTCTTTTTTTTATTAAGAAGCTTCAACAAATAAAAATAACAAAATGAATTGCGTAACCAACATTTGAGCCACAGAAAGAGTAAAAAGCAACAAAAACCTTAAAAAACATTTTTTGATTACATAAGAATGGTCAGCCATCCTAAACACTCAGGAGTTTCCTACGCACTACGATCATGTAAATATACTAAGCACAATAAGGAAATATTTATAACTGCAATGAAACCTGGTTGCTATAAGAAGAAGAGAAGAAGAAGAGATTGGATTTATACCCTGCCCTTCACTTGGAGTCTCAGAGCAGCTTACAAACTCCTTTCCCTTCCCCTCCCCACAACAGACACCCTGTGAGGTGGGTGGGGCTGAGAGAACTCTGACACAAACTGCTCTTTTTCAAGGACAGCTGTGCCAGAGCTTGTGACAGACCCAAGGTCACATCAGCAGGTGCAAGTGGAGGAGTGGGGACTCAAACCCGGTTCTCCCAGATTAGAGTGTGCACACTTAACCACGACACCAAACTGGCTCTCTATAACTGGCTATCTATAAGATACCCAAACAACCCTGTGAACCAGATTTAGATCAGAAACGTATCCAAGAAAGGTAAGAAGCGTTAGCTGGAAGTACATTCTTATCCGTCACATACTGAATTAACCGGAACCAAATGGATTCAAAGCGTGAGGACGCAGAGGATGAATCCCTGGCCGAGTTCAGACTGGCAGTCTGGCCCAATATAGGCACGTTTCAGAAACGTTTCACAAACGGATTAAAGGGGCAGTTCCACACAGGCACATCTGTCCGGTGTTCCCCAGCTGTACTCAACCCATCTCATAACGCTTCCCTCCCGAGTTTAAAAGATACCAGGTGAAAGTGGTAGCAAACCCTGGAAAGCGCTATTATCCCGTGTCCATCCCGCACCAACAAAGTGTGAACACCAAAAGCCGCATTTTTTCTTGTGCCCTTATGCCCTTAAGCACAAAAGCCGCATTTTTTCTTGTCCCCTTATGCGCAAAGCCGCATTTTTCTTGTGCCCTTATGCACATATGCATAAGCACTTATGTGCATATCTCCAGATTACCGAATAGAAAGCCATGTCTTACAGCCGTGCCTCCACCAGGGGCGGGCCAACAGTGTGAACGTTTCCTTGCACCTCCTTCCCGGTATCCTTCTGCATCAGTCGGTGCAGTATGACCGGGAATACCCGGAACAGTTTGTTCCGGGTCTTTTTTGCCACGACTCCCTCCTGCTTCAAACTGCCAGTCTGAACATTTGGAATATTGTGTGCAATTCTGGTTACCATACCTTATAAAGGATATTATAGCTTTGGAAAAAGTGCAGAAAAGGGCAACTCGAATGATAAAAGGGTTGGAACACTTTCCCTATGAGGAAAGGTTAAAGCGCTTAGGGCTCTTTAGCTTGGAGAAATGACGACTGAGGGGTGACATGATTGAGGTTTATAAGATTATGCATGGGAAAGAGCAGGTAGAGAAAGAGGTCCTTTTCTCCCTTTCTCACAAGACAAAAACTCGTGGGCACTCCATGAAATTGCTGAGCGGTCGGGTTAGAAGAGATAAGAGGAAGTACTTCTTCACCCAAAGAGTGATTAACACTTGGAATTCACTGCCACAGGAAGTGGTGGTGGCTACAAGCATGGACGGCTTCAAAAGGGAATTAGATAGGCATATAGGGCAGAGGTCCATCAGTGGCTATTAGCCACAAGGTATAGATAGGTACTCTGGGGCAAGTGATGCTCTGTCATCTTGGTGCTTGGGGGGGTCAACAGTGGGAGGGCTTCTAATGTCCTGGCCCCACTAGTGGACCTCCTGATGGCACCTGGTATTTCTGGCCACTGTGTGACAGAGTGTTGGACTGGATGGGCCTTTGGCCTGATCCAACATTGGCATCTCTTATGTTCTTATGCTTTTATTTAACTCAGCCCCTGTTTGAGAGTTGAGTAATATTTGTGATTTTTCTCTAGAATGAATCGGTCCCAAATTTTATTGTGCCAAGCCTGGAGAGTTGGAGGGGTGATGGATTTCCAAACCGATGCTATTGCTGTTCTTGCTGCAGCTAGTAAAATCGAGATGAGCTCTTTAAGAGCTGCTGTTCCAACTATCGGATCCGTAAGACTAAGAAGAGCCAGTTCAGGACTGATGGGCAGGCTGAGTAGAACAATCTCATTAATTTGACCGATAACGTCACACCAAAAAGGATATATCTTAGGACATTCCCACCAGCAATGATAGTATGAGCCCATGAGGCCACAGTTTTCCCCCATTCTCTGTTTACATCATTTCCCCCTGGCACTTCAAAAAGCTACCTGACTCAAGACGATTGTGGGGCAAAATAAATTAAAACGTGCACATCATAGTCAAAGCTCCTGCTCTGTCACTTGAGCCACACCCCCTTCCCGACACAGCTGGGCAGAGGACTGAACATGACGGGATGCCAGGGCCAGAATGTTGAGTTGTGCCCCATTTATTCTTGTGATTCACCCACCCCCTGGCCACTCCCCCGACTTCACTTACTCATCTCCAAGAACTCATTGAACAAACTGAAGATGTCGACTTCATTCAGCTGGTAATTCCACAGCCAGTCCTCCTTGCATTGGTCCTGGGCACTCTCCTCCATGTGGATTTTGCTGTGGTGCCTGGGCTTGGCACAAAGCTTTCTGAACTGATACTTTATCCAGCTATGGGAGAGAAATGAAACAAGGCTGGAAAAGTCTCAAAGTGCCGGACCCACGAACTGCCAGAGATGTCTACAAATAGCTACACACAAGTTGGCAACCATAGCCAAAGTCCCCCGTGGGATTTCCTAATTGCAATGAATGGTCTGTTTTCTGATGAAGGTCTGGGATATTCCTTGTCTGAACACTGCCTGGAATCAACTAAAAAAGGTCTTGTCAGGTTCCCCAGCCAACAACTGAGTACACGCTTATCAGAAGGGTTATACTTTATTGCAGAGCTATAGATACAGTAACAAAGTCACTGTTAAGAATGGCAACGTTCCTACAAGCATAATGGGATATAGGGTATTTGTATGCACCCCCCCTTTCCATAGGCCAATTAGCCTGACTTCCGCACGCGGGAGAAAGGGTCCCAGGCAGTTAGAGGCCGCAGCTGGGAACCAAAAGCGCTCCCACGGTTCCAGGCATCCCAGACACTACACTGTCAACCTGCAAGGTCATTGATAAGACAGCATTTCAGAAGCAAAAGTAAAGAAGCAGCATCTGGCCCACAGAGCACGAGAATGGATCCCCCCCAATCATGGCAGCATAGCTGACAGGGGACACTTCAGTTTTTGAGCATCCATGGCCGAGTTCAGACTGGCAGTTTGGCCCGGCAGCCAAACGTTTCAGGAGCGTTTCAGTAGCGGATTAAAGGGGCGGGTTCACACAGGCACATCTTTCAGGCATCCCCCAGCCGTACTCAGGCCGTCTTGTGCCACTTCCCTCCCGAGTTGAAAGAGTACCAGGTGAAAGTGGTAGCAAACTGTGTGTAGAGCGGGTTGATTCCGGTTCCCTGAGTGTGAATGCAAGTGCTGCTAAGGCGGGAACAACCCACAGTCGTTGATAAGAGGTGCTGGCTGTTTCCGCGGCAGGCGCCCATGCGCATAGGCACATGCAGCGGAGCGCAGAAACAGCCACTAGCAGCCTGCCAGGGGCGGGCCAACAGTGCGAACGCTCCCTTGCGCTTCCTCCACAGTATCCTCCCGCTTCATTCGCTGCGGTGTGAACAGGAATACCGTGACCAGGCCGTTCTGGGTCTGTTCCGGGTTTTCTATGCCACGACTCCCTAGCGCTTCAAATTGTCAGTCTGAACTCGGCCCATGCTTGTGCAAAGAGAACTGTTTCCCTTAGGCCTGGCTCCACTTCATGGGAATGTGATGGGAGGACCCTGGTGGACTTGTGCGGCCGGTACCAAGAAACTCCCTTCCCCAGAAGGTCAGGTTGATGCCATCTCTGCAGGCCTTCAGAAATCCTTTTCTATTCTGGAAGACTTGTGAATAATTGGCGGATTGATGAGCTGCTGCTGGTTATTGCATTCTAAGACGCTTTTAAATTGGATTTGAGTTGTTTTAAATTTGATGTTTCAGGATGGGCTTTGAACATTTGTTTCTTCTTTATAAGCCACCTGGAGGTAGAAAGGCAGCATAAAGCTAAAACAGATAAATATACGAATTGCACAGCAGCAGCTGCTGCAGCTGAAGTAACCTGGTAGCCTAAAAGAAAGATTGCCACACTTGTACAAATCATGTAGTCCCTTGTTAAGTCGCTCGCTTAACAAAGCAGTCGGAGAGCGATTCAGCAAGAACACAGCTTTATTCTTCCACTCGAACACAACTCCAACACGGATCAACATCTGATAGCCAGAACAGCTTTTACATTGCAGCTGTCCTGCTTTTAAACATTCCCGGCTAGGGTTGCCAAATCCGTTTGGTCTCGCGGCGGGGGGCTCCCGGACGGCGTCCCCGTGCGCGCGCACCGCATGCACGTCACCCGGACGTGACGTGGATGCTGGGCACGCTGGAGGCGGGGCCACAGCCATTTGAGAGGAAAACTCTATGTTTTCCCCTCAAATGGCTGTGGCCCCGCCTCCAGCGTGCCCGGCGTCATCATGTCACGTCTGGGTGACGTGCACGCCAGGGTGGGGTTTCCCCCGGGGCCCAATTCTGCGGCGGCGGAAATTGGGCCTCCAAAGCGGGGGGAAATCCGCCCCGCGGGGGGAATTGGCAGCCCTATTCCCGGCTAATGTAGCCACACCCACTGTACAAATACCAACCAATAAGGTTGTTCACATAAGGACCAATCACGGATGTGATTGCTAGAAGGTGATTGGTTAGGTGCTTCCTGGGCTAGTAACACGATTGGATGGATTTGGATCCTAGCCCAGGATGAAGCTTTACATTACACTAGATTGCATTAGATGTTTCACAACATATCATGCATTCAAGGCAACTTTGAATACACTACACGACTACATGAAGATACCAGTTCGTACAAAAATCATCTTCATAGGTGGAGTCCACAGACACCCTTGCATACTCTGAAAGTGCTCATGTGAGTGCCACCGTATATATGAATTGGCTCATAGGGTTACAAGGAGCAGAAATGTCCAGAAGATCATTAAATCACAACCCCCCCACCTCAAGACTTGTATTCCTTCATACATCAGCTCCTCAACAGACTGTACCCGATACAAATGCAGAGCAGAACGCGGCACAGTGAGAGGAGACCTGAATAAAGCACACAACAGGAAGGTGCCCTTATCCAAGGACAAGAGATCTTGAGCAAGTGAGTCTGGCCCCATGCTGCAAAGAAAATCCCCACCCCCAGTCCAAACCACTGCCCAATCGAGTCTGCAGGAACATAATATACATCCTCCCCCCCCCCCCCCCCAATTCAGCTGGTTCTCTTGCAAGGACAAAGTACAATTCACAAAATATTTTCTACCAAAGAAATGTGATTGGGGCACACACATACACACACAATCCCCACACACTTCCTTTTTTCTCACTCTGGGAGTCTGTCACCCCCAGAGTACAGAGGGACCCAGTTCCAATCACGTGAATTATGCTTACTTACGGTAACAAGTATTCCTCAAGGTTGTTCAGGGTTTGCTTTAATGTCATGATTATAGCCATCTGGAGAAAGAGATCTAAAAGGCAACCACTAGGGTGGCACTAGAAAGCAAGGGAAAAAAAGAGAAAAGTTTCAAAAGGGAATTAGATAAGCATATGGAGCAGAGGTCCATCAGTGGCTATTAACCACAAGGTATAGATGGGGGCTCTGGGGCGAGTGATGCTCTGTCTTCTTGGTGCTTGGGGGGGTGTCAACAGTTGGAGGGCTTCTAATGTCCTGGCCCCACTGGTGGACCTCCTGATGGCATCTGGTATTTCTGGCCACTGTGTGACACAGAGTGTTGGACGGGATGGGCCTTTGGCCTGATCCAACATTGGCGTCTCTTATGTTCTTATGTTCTATCTAAAGCAGAGGTATCAATCATACAGATCAGGGCCCAGAACTGGCCCACCCAGGGCTCTTATCCAGCCCATGAGCAACGGGTGCGAGGGAGGGAAGGCCAGAGGCTGCTTGGGGGGCAGTGACCAGTTTAAAGAAGAAGAAGAAGAGGAGGAGGAGGAGGAGGAGGAGATTGGATTTAGACCCCGCCCTTCACTACCCAAAGGTGTCTCAGAGCAGCTGACAAACTCCTTTCCCTTCCCCTCCCCACAACACACACCCTGTGAGGTAGGTGGGGCTGAGAGAGCTCTGACAGAAACGGGTCTTTTTCAAGAACAGCTCTGACAGAACTACAGCTTGCCCAAGGTCGTCCAGCCAGGTGCAAGTGGAGGAGTGGGGAATCAAACCCAGATTAGAGTCCGCACACTTCATTCTGACACCAAACTGGCTCTCATGTATGGGATGGGGCTGGTGGGGAGAGAGGAGGAGGAGGAGGGCCAGCGCATGGATCGAGAGGCAACTGGGCTCTCTCGTGTATGCTGCTCTGAGGGGGAAGACATCCTGGCTTTGGAAGCGAATGGAGGAGCGAAGAGAAAAAAGAGTTCCACTGTTGCTGCCACACATCTGAACAGCCACAGAGCCCAGAGGCATGAGTGAGTGTCAGGGAGGATGGCGAACCCCTGTCTCCCCCCTCCCCACCTGGTTCAGACACCAGGTTCAGACACCCCCCCCCTCCCGATCCAGGACCACGTCGTCTGGGTCACCTGGGGCTGGTTGCTCAGCCTAGCCCACCTCACAGGGTAGTTGTTGTTGGTGGGGATGGGGCAGTGGAGGGGAAGCCCAGTATGCCCCCTCAAGATCCTCAGAGGTAGGGTGGCAGAAGTGAGGAAAGAAGAGCGAGAGACAGATTGTAGCCATCTTTGGCTGCTGAGCCTGGGCTTGGGGGGAGGGGTTTGCTGAAAAACTACCCTATTTACCTGCAAGGAAGATGACATCTCCTAAAAGTGCCATATATACAAAAAGTAACTAATTTGTACAGAAATGTAAGATACTTCCTCCTCTTTTATAGTATCCCTTGGAAAAAATCTAGTCTTGCATATGATTCAATACATTTATTGGGGCCTCTGTGGGTGCCCCAGTAAATCAATTGCTTTCACTGTTTGGAATCAATTGCTTTTGTTTGTATTTTGAGTAAAAAATAATATCATTCATTGGGTTTGCCTGTGTCCTTTATAAAGTTTATATCTCCGCTACCTGGCATTACATTTTATGGCACGCCTGGCCCGACAAAGTGACACTTACATCAGATCCGGCCCTCATAATAAATGAGTTCGACACCTCATCTCTAAAGGTTGTACTCAAGACCAATGATCCCTCTAAGCTGTGGAGTCTTGTGAGCAAAAATTCTACTTTGGGAGCTACTGGCATTGAAGCTATGGCTACTGCATAAATTGGTTTGCTCTGGAGCCATCATTCCTGAAGACAAAAATGTGTGAGCTGGAGGCTAAAAAACCATGAGCTAGCTCACACTAACTCAGCTTAGAGGGAACACTGATCAAGACCATTTATTGCCACTCACGCTCTAAAAAAAGTTCAAATTAAAACAGTGAGAGAGGGTCTTCTTAGTCCTGGTGCTAAAATTATGGAAGACTCTCTCCCAGGGTATTCATTTATCCCCCTCTCTATCACTATTTTCTGCCAGCAAGAGAATGTGGGGGGGGGGGGGTTGGTCTGGTATTCCCTCAACGATCCCTCCTTCCTATGTTTTAATCTGCTGTTTTGTGTTTTACGTATGTATTTCAGCTCTGTTTTTTAACTGGCTTTAAGGTGTGTTTTTATGTTTGTTTTAATTCTTCACCACCTTGGTGGTACCGATTGGGTAGAAAGGTGGGAAATAAATGTTCTCATAAAATAAATAAATAAATGTCCAGAAGATCCGTGCACATCAGAGTCACCTTTGTTCACTGTAATCAAATGTGCCTTGAACGGAAGGAGATACAAAAATATGTAAGAGACCTCCTAGTTGAGAAATGGTCAGAATGATAAAAACAACCAGGGAAATGTTTTTTTATATAATGCAATAAATACTATATTGAAAAGTTTATACAAATGTGAATTAATTTTAAAGTGTTTGATTCATAAATTCATAGAAAATCACCTATTAGCTTATACATAGACATTATACATAAACAGTTCACAATATATTTAAGAGAATCACAATACATTAGTAAGTAACAAAGCTTCCGGCTTGAGTCTTCGTTTTGCTCCTAGACTTCCTGCATTCAATAGCGTACAGCAGACTGGACTGGAGCCTGATATGAAGGTTGTTGCTTCCTATTTGGAACATAAGCTTTGATAAGCAGAGAGAAGAGTTTTGGAAAACAAAAGAGACAACGCTCACTAAATGCAAAATGATGAATAAGAGAATTTACTTCTGAGGAAGTCTAGGAGCGAAACGAAGACTCAAGCCGGAAGCTTCGTTATGTACTAATGTATTGTGATTCTCTTAAATATATTGTGAACTGTTTATGTATAATGTCTATGTATAAGCTAATAGGTGATTTTCTATGAACGTATGAATCAAACACTTTAAAATTAATTCACATTTGTACAAACTTTTCAATATAGTATTTATTGCATTATATACAAAACGTTTCCCTGGTTGAACAGAAGGAGATAATACGGAGAACAAGAAAAACTGTGAAAAAGTGACTAATAGACATAATAATAATATAATAATAGACATAATAATAATAATAGACATAATCATAGAAAAATATATTGATGGTGATCTCCGGAATGTCTTGCCGTTTCGAAGGAAGATCTTCTTCTGAACAAAGATGAACGGAAGGAGAGCCAGTATGGCAAAGAAAAAGAAACTTACTTCTTCCAGTCTCCACTTGCCAGCAACACGTACATAGTTTCCAGGACGGCCATTAATCCTAACGAAAAAAGAAAAATAATCAGTTCTTTTTGTCATCAGTCCTTTCCCTTAGGAGCACACAGACACACACACGCACCATTCAAAAGCTTCAAGAGGAGTCCAGTAACAAAGGCTAACAACATTTATTCCAGCATCAGGTTTTGTGAGTCACAGCTCACTTCATCAGATTCAGGTTTGGAAGGGAATGTGCCATGATTATGAAGATGCGGAAGGTAGGGTTGCCAAGTCATTTTCTTGCCGCAGCCTGGAACTCCCGGCTTGTGGCTGGAGTGCGTGCAGTGCGCAAAGCGCACACGCGCCGCATGCACATCACCCAAAAGTGACGTGACGCCGCCGGGCACACTGGGGCGGGGCCACGACCATCCCTCGGAGTCCCCCGCTGCGGCAAGAAAACCACTTGGCAACCCTATCAGAAAGGTGTCCGGGGTCCGTCACGCCAGACTCCACTGGCACTTGGGCCACAACCCCTATCGCCCCGGGAGGCATGGGCGACAAGGGCCTGTCAGCTGGGGAACGGGCCTCTGGGGCAGGGGTTTTCCCACCCCCTGGGGGGACTTGGCAAGCCTAGCGGAAGGATTACAAAGCAGATCTCCAGATAGGGTAAACTGAAGCAGGTGCCTGCCTGACCAAGAGCAAGAGAATGAGAAATGAGAAAAACCATCAACCCCGTTGTGACGAACTTAAAGATCTGGGACCAGCAGGAAGTAAACACAGAACACTGCTGAGTCACGTGACTGAGTGAGGAGGGGGCCATTTAGCTCGGAACCCTCGGTGATTGGCATTTAACGGACCAAACGGTCAGTTTGGGATTGGCAGTTGGGAAGAAGCCGTTAGTGAGTGGGACGGAGAGCTAACAGAGGGTCGGTCAGCTAACTGAAGGAGCTCCAGCTCGGTAGCTCTGGGTGTCGAAAGCCAAATAACAGTTAAACAGATAACTGGGGCTGGAATAACCTGGCTTACTGAGTTCCTCGGAAGGAAGGGGACAGTGACCAGACAGTTAATAGCTAAACACAACCGTGTCATACACAAACGATACATCACTCCTTAAGGGATCTGAGAGAAGTGGTTCAATGAGGGCTGAGGAAGCGGTCTGGGCCGAGTCAGGACAGCTGGTCGGTGGCCAGTTGGGCTCAAGAGGGGTGAGAGTACCAAAGGCAAAAGTTAACCACGAATCAGTACAGGAGGGTGTGATCATCAGAGGGTGTAGTGAACTGTTTAACATCTGCGTGAAAGCAAAAGCAACAAGCATGCTGCCTAAGTAAAAACCAAGTTCAAGAGTTCAGCCTGAAAAGCAGGGCTATTTTGGGGCAGGAACGCACAGGAACGGAGTTCCAGCTGGCTCCGGAGTTGGCCACGCCCAGCAGGAAATCATTAGCATAATAGGCCACACCCAACAGCAGAAACTCATTAGGATTGGCTACATTAGGGGTGTGTGGCCTAACATGCAAAGGAGTTCCTGCTACAAAAAAGGTTTTGACAGCAAACAAGGTAAACAGAATAAGAAGCAAAAGGTGGATGTGGCTGGATGACCACACTTCTGGTAGCATGGGGTGTGGCCTAATATGCCAATGAGCTGTGTTGTCAGGGGTTGTGGCCTAATATGCTAATGAGTTCCTGCTGTTGGGTGTGGCCTGTTATGCTAATGAGTTCCTGCTGGGCTTTTTCTACCAAAAAAGCCCTGCTGAAAAGAAACGAATCATCCTCCGTGTAAAGGTTCTATCCCCCGGTTGTGTTTTCTGTAAATAAAGCCTGTTCTGTTTTGAAGTTAACAAGCCGTGGTGCCTAACTCTTTAATAGTGAAGCAAATACACGTAGCAGTGGTCCTTACAAATATCCTTGTCAAAGAAGCAAAACAAATACCCCGAAGAGACTTCTGTAGATTTGTATAGCAGACTGGTCAGAAAAATTATAAGCAGCTCTGACCAGGCACTTCACGCAGACCCTCACGGTACCGTGAATATAAAGGGGGCACGTGTTATACCCATGTTTTCTGAATACAACGGCCCCAGTTTTGTCAAAGACATGCCATGGTACGTCCCCAACAGTACAAATTCTCTAGCACAGATGATCACTTATAAATGTAAAGCATTATCTAAAATTTGAAAAGTGTTTTACAGTGTGTGGATTTGTTCTTACAATATCCACAAGAGGAAAGCCATCACTCTTTCTATTTTACAGCTGTCAATTTGAAACAGAGGGTGGGGGGGGGAATAGCAGGAACTGAGTATCTGAGAAACTTGTGTTGAATACTCTAACTAATGGACCACACTGTCACTTTCTTCTTTACCTCCCAAGGAAGAAAGCAATGTAAATTAGAGAAGAGAAATGGGTGACGAACTGGAGGGTGAAGATTTTGACTGTTAAGTTGTTCTCACGTTCAGACAATGTCCTTGGCTTCTCTGGAAACAAGAACACAGGCACACAAGTTAGTGGCAACACCTGGCATGCCTGTTCTTATTCTTCTATGCCTCCAAGTGAGCCTGCTCCAAGACCATTATGACTGTATCTGAGATCATGCTCATAGGAAACTCTTTTCCCCACTTACCCTTATAGTTTATTTATCCCTCATACTCAGTCCCAATAGATGTCAAGCAGATGCACTTATGTGCAGAGAATGAAATTTCTCTTACCCAGATCACAGAGGAACACAGCTACATGCTTGTTCACCTACAAGAGACAAGAGGGAAACAAAAGCAGTGCGAGGCGTGCCGTGAAGAATAACTGTAAGACAGAGAGGTGGCAGATATACCACTGTGCAATGTTCTATACCTTGCTCATCGTGACGATGGACATGTAATGCAACACAGCCCCTGTTACTACTGCCATAGTAGTGGCTCGCTCTCGAAAGAATTCAGAGTTGGACTGAGCAAATAGGACTGTCACCATGACCCGATAGACAACAATCGCTTGGGCAATACCAATCAGAATGCAGATCTACAAGGCAAAAATCTATCAGTCGTTCTGGAAGAAACAAATGCAGGAATCAATAGGGACAATGGGCAATAGTCATGTACCATTTGAACGTCAGATTTATGGGACATTTTTGTGACACAAATGTATATTAATTTTATTTCACTCTAACTTTGACAGTTCGCACCTCCCCGCAAAATCTTGACAACTGTGCACTGATGAAGATGCTAAAGAATGGTTAGAAATCTGCAACCCTCCTTACAAAACTACAGGTTTCCAGGGTTTCCTGGGGAAACAGAAGGACTATTAAACCATTTCAATCTGTACTGTTCATATGTTCATTGAACACAAATGACAGGTTTAATGTGTACTCTATTCCAGCTTGTGGTCATTTCCTGGCATGACAATATTTGTGCAGATGGCGACAATTAGCAATGGTTCAAAAATGAATTTTGGAGGCTTTCAGCAGAGAGTAATGCTGTTAATTGCCCCTCTTCAGTGGCACAGCTGAGTCTTATTTTCTCATACATTTTCTGTTTAATTGGCTCATTTTGGAGGTATCTGTCAAAATCTTATTGCCAGGTCTTGTGGAAGACAAGGAACAAGCAAATCTGATGTTTGGAGGTTTAAATGTGTACCAGAAGGGAAGGGAAGGGAAGGGAAGGGAATCACATACCATAAGTGCAAATAAGATGAGCACAATGGTAGTGCGCACATAAGAGTGTTGGTACGTCCGGATCTCATGGTCTGGATTACTAATGAGCTCCATGGCCACATCATCCTGAACACAGAAAGCAGAAATACAAGTCACACTGATGGTAATAGTAATATACTTTATTGTCATTGTACATAGTACAACGAAATTAAGATGCAATCATTTTGGTGATCTACAACAATATTCATATACACTCACACAACCATTCACAACTATCTCATAACTCCCTTAAGGTTCACATACCAACTTAAAACCACTAATGTCACCCAAATTCCAATTTCATACAGCATTTAAGGCAGTAATAGCTCTCGAATAAAAACTATTTTTTAATCTGTTTGTCCTTGTTTTAATTCTCCTGTATCTTCTGTCCGAAGGCAGTAGTTCAAACAGGGAATGTCCAGGGTGTGACAAATCCTGCAGAATGTTCTTTGCTTTTTTCAAACATCGAGAACTATACAATTCCTCCAGGAATGGGAGAGGGCAGCCAATGATCTTCTGGGCTGTGATGATAACTCTCTGGAGTGCTTTCCTATCCACAGCCGTACAACTGGCAAACCAGGCACAGACACAGTATGTTAAAATGCTCTCTATTGAGCAACGATAGAAGGACATCAATGTTTTCTCACTCAAATTATTTTTCTTTAAAAGTCTGAGAAAAAAGAGCATCTGCTGGGCCTTCTTCACATGCGCCATGGTGTTAGCGCTCCAGGTCAAGTTTTGCTCAATAGTCACTCCCAAAAACTTAAAAGTAGCCACCCTCTCCACACGTTCTCCTCCAATAACCAGTGGCTGGATGTCCGTTTTATTCCTCCTGTAGTCCATTACCAATTCCTTGGTCTTGGTGTTCCTTATGGACTAACTGAGGGACCAATAAGCTCCACCGACAGAATGCTGACTCCAGTTATGATTTGCCTGCGCATCCTGACCTGGAAGGAAAACTATATGGACCTCACTGTCCTTAGCTAGCAGCTTGGCTCCTCTCCCAAATGAAAATATTCTAAACACTTGGATTATTTGTCCCTACAGAACTGAGACACACACAAACAAGCCAACCTTGATATTCTAACTGCACAATTATTGTGGGATTAGTTGAGAGCTCTGTAACCAGAACAGAGAGGCACTCCCCAAAGAAGTTCTTTTATAAAAAAATCAGTGGCATGCTGTTCCGGTAGCCTGATGGACAAGAAGAAGAAGAGGAAGAGGAAGAGATTGGATTTATACCCCGCCCTTCACTACCCGAAGGAGTCTCAGAGCGGCTTACAAACTCCTTGCCCTTCCCCTCCCCACAACAGACACCCTATGAGGTGGGTGGGGCTGAGAGAGCTCTTGACAGAAACTGCTCTTTTTTTCAAGAACAGCTCCTGTCAGAACTACGGCTTGCCCAAGGTCGTCCAGCCAGGTGCAAGTGGAGGAGTGGGGGAATCAAACTGGTTCTCCCAGATTAGAGTCCGCGCACTCAACCACGACACCAAACTGGCTCTCTTACCATATGCGGCTGCCTTACTTTCTCAGACTATTAGTCCATCTAGCTCAGTATCAACTACTCTGACTGGCAGGATCTCCAAGATCTGTCGCAAAAAGCCTTTCCTAGCTCTACTTTCTGAGGTACTACTAACTGGAGTTGGCAAGGATCCATCCTGGGACCTTCTAAAGACAAAGAATGTGCTCTGCCACTGAGCTAATGGCCTTTATGAGTTGAGAATTGTGAGTACGAGACCCATCTCTGGTGGAAATGCTGTTCTGTTAAGCATGGAGAGAATACACAACCCTGCCACTGTGAAGAGCAGATGAAGGGACAAGCGTGATAAAGGCAGAGAGCTGTGGTCAGCCTCAAACATCACTGGAAGGCCGTGCTGAAGAGAGGATAGAGGGTGGTGAGCCACAGTCCACCCCCACATTCCAAGGTCTACAGATGGCACTCCTTCCATACACTGTCTTGCAGTGGCAACTTGGGACAGAGGTTACCTCTCAAGAGTCCGTATTTCCCCCCAGGGATAACTAGTTGAAAAGCCCTATTACAGACAGGGGTTATTTCCTGCGGGAGCGCACAGGAGCGGAGCTCCGGCAGTAAAGAGCCCAGGGGGAGGGCACATGTAACAAGCCCCACCCCCTGCTCCCAGCAGCCCTCAGTCAGAGCAAGAAGCAGCCAGGTAAGCTGCAGAGCCCCCCCCCCCAGTCCAAAACAGTCCAGTGGCACCTTCAAGACCACGTTTTATTCAGGTACAAGCTCTCCCTCCTCTGTGAGGGCAGATCTGCACATCCCCCCCCCCCAATAGCTAGCAATCCAAAACAGTCCAGCGGAGCCTGAGCGGTGGGTGTTGCCTTCTGACACACTTCCGGTGATGTCAGGGGGTGTGGCATATGCAAATAAGTTATGCTAATGAGTTATGCTAATGAGATCCTGCACCTCTTTTTCTACGAAATGACCCCTGATTACAGATATCTGTCTCGATGCAGGAATGCGACAGAGAATTCCTGAAGACCCAACCAACATCTTCAAGCAGCATCTTGACTAGGTAAAGGTAAAGGGTTTCCCTTGCTCGAAAGCCAGTCAAATCTGACTCTAGAGATGTGGTGCTCATCTCCGTTTCCAAGCCCAAGAGTCAGCGCTGCCCCAAGACGTTTTCGTGGTCATGTGGCCGGCATGACTAGACACCAAGGCGCACGGAACGCTGTTAACTTCCCACCGAAGCATTACCTATTTATCTACTTGCCATTTCTTGCTTTTGAACTGCTAGGTTGGCAGGAGCTGGGACCTGAGATGGGAGCTCACTCCGTCATGCGGAACACTCGGGTTTTGAACTGCTGAACTACCGACCTTTCGGTCTGCAGTTCAGTGTCTTAACCACTTAAGCCACAGCAGCTCTTGCATCTTGACTAGTATAGGGCAAAATCAACAGTGTGAGTTCTCCCACTCTTTCTGCAATGCCAAGCAGCACACTAGCAATAGCACACTGACAGCAGGATATCCACAAACGTCAGTGTAACTGTGTTTTTCCAATGAGACCAATGGCACAGTGGTCAAAGGGAAAAAAATACAACACTAGGTGAGTTATTCTTACCTTCTCTTCATCCCACAAATATAGGTTCCATTCACTAACCACTTTAGCTCTCTGTCTCTTCCATAGTTCCAAGTACACTGTGGCTGTAATATAAAGGCCCAGGATTGTACAGAGAACTGTATGAGCAGCGCAGACCAAAAAGTCTTCCTGTTCAACTCCTCTTTTAGAGATCCTCCAGCCAACTACACTAAATATGTTACTCCATTATATAGCATGGAAGAAGCAGACGGAGCTGCATTCATCTGTTATAAACTGCTAAGCAGTCTTCAAGTCGAGTTCATCAGTGCTGTGAGACTGAAAGATACAGGGCATGGAAATCTTTATCGTCTAGTGAATTGATTTCCTGTCCAGCATCTTCAGATATAATCTCACCTGTCCTTGCTACTCCCATTTTTACACATACCAACTTCACTCTTTTGTAAACATATATCATTCTCTGGAGAGAGAGGTCCAGAGTTTTTAAAATAATCACAAATTTCAAGCTTCTCTATCAGATTATCTAGATTTTGCAAAGGGAGTAAAAGATTCCAGGGGGAGGGAGAGAAAAAACTCCCCAGATAGAAGTGAGGGGCTGTCCCATCAAATCCAAAACGGACTATAGATCAACCCATGCGGACACTTACCCCAAAGAGCCATGAATATTGCAAAGAGTACTGTCCCTTCATTGTCAAACAAATGGGTGAACTAATAGGGAATGAAAGAAGAAAAAAAGCAAGTCAACTGAACTGTCTCACAGCTGCAGAGGGATCTCTAAAAGCAAAAAGGAGGTAAGAAAGGTTCTTAAGGGAAGCCAATGTTGGATCAGGCCAATGGCCCATCTAGTCCAACACTCTGTCACACAGTGGCCAAAAATACCAGGTGCCATCAGGAGGTCCCTCAGTGGGGCCAGAACACTAGAAGCCCTCCCACTGTTGCCCCCCTCCAAGCACCAAGAATACAGTGCATCACCTGCCCCAGCCTGTGAGTTCCTATCTATACCTTGTGGCTAATAGCCACTGATGGACCTCTGCTTATCCAGTTCCCTCTTGAAGCTGTCCATGCTTGTAGCTGCCACCACCTCCTGTGGCAGTGATGGTCACAAGTAATGCCACATAAGACAGTTTGCAAACAACTTTCCACTGAAACTTAGAACATGATGAAAGGGGTAATAAAAAGACAAAAAAGCAGACTGTGGAAATTCCCTGCACTGGCAGAGGACATGATTCCTCCGCTGCGTTTGCTCATTTTAATTTCTGCAACAAAATCATAACCAGAAATGAATATTTTGTTTCCCTCAGGGTGGATGGTGTTGGAGTCATAATTCCATTCAGTTCATGTCGGGCACTCTTACCTTGGCATAAGTGCAAGTGTCTGACAGTGGCCAAAATGGGCACTTCTGATCACAGAGTGGACACATGATAGTTGTGTTGGCTGCACAGATCTCTTGGCTAGAGAAAGGAGAACAGCAAAATGCACCACGATAGTTATGCAAGCCCTGAACAATCCTATTCAAACAAGCCCTGAACAATCCTATTCAAACAGCTCAACACGGCCCCACACAAACAAGGCAAAGCGGAGCGAACAGAAGGTCCATCCCACCCGTGGCACTCACAGTCATAAGTAGATGCTGGCATCAATCCAACCATCCCATGAAGAAGAAGAAGAAGAAGAAGAAGAAGAAGAACAGACACACAACAGACACCCTGTGAGATAGGTGGGGCTGAGAGAGCTCTTGACAGAAACTGCTCTTTTTCAAGGACAGCTCTTGTCAGAACTACGGCTTGCCCAAGGTCACCCAGCCAGGTGCAAGTGGAGGAGTGGGGAATCAAACCCGGTTCTCCCAGATTAGAGTCCGCGCACTTAACCACGACACCAAACTGGCTCTCTAAACTAAATAGCACTTCAGTTATGGAAAGAAGGGGCAGTGACTTCTGTAATTCCCACTTTGCCTCCCTTATGCTGTTCCTAAAGGTCTGCTGACCTCCCCCCCAAAAAAAAAACAAACACACACACAACAACACCAGTGTAGGCTGGCAGTCATAATAAGTGATGCTTCAATATTGGACCAGGTCATTTATCCAGCCACATGCCTTGACCCAGTATCCAAGAATGTGCCATCCCTTATGACGACTGCCAGTCCGCATTAAGGTTTCATTGGGGGAAGGCAGGTTCAGTAGACCTTCACGCTGACTACTGCCAGTCCAGGTAGGGACTGTAATCAGAGGCTGGTTTGGCAGAACAGTCCTGCCAACAGTCTTACAAGCAGAACCTCTTAATCCTGCAAATCATTTGTATTAGGAGGATTCCATGCAAAGACAGGTCATGCCGAAGAAGCAAAAAAAAAAGAAAAGAAAAAGGCTACCTAGAAGGATATGGCATGTCTGAAGTCACACTGAAGTCTGAAGTTACACAAAACTCCCTAGCTTTCATAATCAAAGATTATCTTTTTTAGGTTTACTCACCTAATCGGACTGGAATTGAATGATATGAATCCATATATGACAAGAATAATGCCTGGCACTGCGGCTACAAGTAAGACATAAGTGTACCACTGTAGCCAGGCAAAATACAGAGCAACTTTCTCTCCGAAATACATCCTGAAAGGCAAATACAGAAACTTATTCCCCACAGATCACCCTTGAAACTGATTCCAACACTTCAGCTGTTGAGCTGGAAGCTATACCATGTAATGTTATTTCCCCAGCACCTGCTGATGTGCCAAGTTCCAAAGCAATACAATAGCCCGAATGGACCATTGGTTTGATCCAACTGGGCAACTCCCAATCACTCAAATTTTGAGATGCAGCCGCTGCTATGAGCTACTTGACTTCATCTTACTGCATTTTATGGTAAGCTTGTAACTTCCAATCATGTGCTCCATCCAGAGCAAAAAAAGAAAAATATATTGAATATATCTTTTATACCCATCTAAATTTAAATTAATGAATATGAATTCAATTAAAGCAATGAAAACCTTCCCACAATAGTTTGTGCAATTCAAGAGATCTTCACTATCATGAGTTCCTTGGATCCCCCGATCCCTTACCTGAGTTCTTTGATAAGACCGTTATAATAGATGCTTCTCCAATTTATCTTCAGGAATGTATCCAGCTTTTCTCTCTGGATATAACAACATGATTACATATCTTAAGACTCTTGACACACTGTACACTCCAAAGGCCGTTTCTCTAGGCCAGACCACCAAGTATATTGAACACACATCTATCAAGTAATACTGCTCCTTCAGTAACCTCGTCCCCCTATCCCAAATGTATTTTCACAGACATTTAGTACAGACTTTCGCCTGCCTAATGCTTCAACCACCCAATATCCTTATGTTGTTAGTTCACTTACTGACCGGGACAACAGCTGACTGCATGGCTACAATCACATCACAAATTGTGAGATTTGGTTTCAAACATTGAATCAATCACTGCAAACATTTAACCTTGGACAGGAGGGAAAAAAAGATAGCACCCATCTTTTTTTCTTCCAAGACTAATAGGGGGGCAGTTTTAACAAATGGATCCATGCAGGAGTGGAAAGATAAAAAACCCCAACCCTTGGAGTCACAATCCAAGCTGGGACTTCAGCAGCTGAAGTATAGCTTTTAAAAAAAAGTTTCCCAGGGCCTCATTTGATTTCATCTGAAAGCTTATGCTAATGTGCACAACCAGAAGTTCTGGAAATATCTCGGGGATTCCCCCCCACACACTTAGATAGTAGAAAGCCTGCCCTACAGGCCATGCAGTTTACGCAGGATACCACCATAGGCTGATGCCACTGAGAGTTTAGATAATCTGACCCCTAAAACGGGCCAGCTCCACTGCATCAGGGTAAAATGAGGCCCAGCCTGCTTCTCTTGTGAGTTTTCAAATATTAGTGAGACTGACAATGACCTGCATGCACATCCATGGGAACAGCCCACAGGAGATGCCGTACAGAAAACTCTTCCTCATTGGTCTGGGGATTCAAGGAAATCTGAAAATGTGCACACTGCAATTGAATACTTTGAGATCCATATAAAGTCGATCTGTATTACCTCTAGGGTTGCCAAATGGGCCCGGGGGGCGGGGAATCCCCCGCTTTGGAGGCCCGATTTCCGCCACAGCGGAATCGAGCCCCAGGGGGAACCCCGCCCCCGAAGCTGCGTCGCCACGTTGCTGACATTAGGGGCGTGGCTGAGCTCGTCGGGGGAAGCTCGGCCACGCCCCCAATGTCAGCAACGTCGCACGTCACTTCTGGTGACGTGCTGCTGGTGCGCCCGCGCCCATCGAGACCTCCCGGACGACGGAAAGGCTCCCCCGCTCCGAGGGGGTGAATTGAGTTGGCAACCCTAATTACCTCTTTTGTTCTATATTTTTGTTCCCCGAGGCTGAGACACAAAAAACCACCAGGGTGTCAGTATACACCCAGACTCTCTCACCTCATGGAGTGGAAATGCTGTTTCAAAGACATTCTCCTTCATCAAGTCTTGAAAATTCTCTAACATCAGAATGGGGAGGGGAATAAAGACAAAAAGCCTAGTGTAAGACCCCAGGGTAAACTGTGACTCTTAGAGAACAAAAAGTAGACACTTTAGTCTTCTTGGCTGCCCTAACATGAAGCAGTAAAGACTATGCCACTCAGAGGTCCTTTTCAGTCATTACATTTGGGGGGGTGTGCAACCATGTATAGTGGCAGCATGTGGTACCCAGGACCCCCCTGATATGCACTGTCACCATTTTGCCAGAATGGGGAACTGTGTGTTTCACATGGCACTGTATTCAGATTAGAGGCATACTGGCCATTTAATGCACATGGAATTTTCTCAGTGGGCCACTGTCCTTGAGGGCCATTGGTGGCCAGGAGCAAGCAAATTCTGCCCTCACCCTAGGGCGGGGGCCAAACTTGCTTAACATAAGAACCACACAAAATAAATGTCAGATGTTTGAGAGCTGCAAGACGTGAACAAATATTACACACTTTTAAAATTGGAAAATATGCAAATTTCCCTTTTATTAACAGTAAATGAGACTGCCAAAAATAAAAACAAAAGGGATAAAAACAGGTACTGATAATGGTATTTATTTGTCCAATTATATTTATTTGTTTGCTAATGAAATGTATTTGTCTAAGAGAGAGAAAGAGAGAGGTGGAAAGAAACAATGAAAGAGGTAGAAAAAAGAGAGAAAGAGAAAGAGGGAAGGAGGAAGAAAAATAAATAAAGGTGGAAAGAAAACAACTAGATGGGGGGAGAGGAAGGAAGGGGGAAAGAGAGAGAAAAAGGAGAAACAGAAAGGAAGGAAGGGAGTAAGAGAGAGAAAGAAAAGTGAAAAGAAAGAGGTGGAAAGAAAGCAAATAGATGGGTGGAGGAGAGAGTGGGGGGAGGTGGAGAGAAAGCAAATAAATGAGAGGGAGGGAGGGAGATGTGGAAAGAAAGCAATTTTAACCTTAAATGTGTTCTCCAAGCCCTCCACCCCCACTCCAGCTGGCTTGGCTTGGAGAAGGGGTTTAAAGAGAGAAATGCCTTCTTCCAGTCAGCTGGCAAAGGGGGGAAGCTTTGAGAACACATTTAAAGTTGCTTTATTTCTCTGTTTCCCCCCCCCACACACACACCTCAAGCCTACCCATGGAGGGGAACACTGGCTGGGGAAGGAAAGACCAATTGGGGAGGCATGTCTTCCTTAGCCTTGAGCTTAGCATTATGCAGAGAGGTCCAAAATGAGAGATTTTCCATAGAAACTAAGGGCTAGTCCCACTACTATCTGTAGCAACCTGAGAGGAGAAGGGGCTTCTATGAACTAGAAAGGTGACATTATAAACCAAGAGACACAATACATGTTGATTTGCTTCTGATCAAGTTTCACCACGAAACGAAGTGAAAGCCGGCTGCTTTGTAAACTGCTTTGTAAATTGTTTCTATATTGCTGAACTGTTTTCATATTGCTGCTACATGGTTATGTTCTGATTAATGAGCTTTTGTATTGTAATTTTGTATACCTCTGGCTATTATGCCCTGATATTGTAATTTTGTACATTCTGAGTATTAAGCTTTAGTATAAAGTTGATTACATTTGCATATACATTATAGTATTTGAATGTTTATACCTTCTTAGGTCGTCTATCCCCAGTTTTTCTTATATTGCACAGCTATGGGGAACATGAGCAAGATGGAGAAACGTCTTTCATAGTTTGGGACCAGGATCCTTTCCCAAAATGCTGATTGCATTCACTAGAGTTTGATTCTGAAGCTGTATTCCCAGGTACACTTACATAAGAGTAAGTATCACTGGACTCAATCAGCCCCACTTCTGTGCAAAGAGGCTAAACGATGCTGAGTTAAAGCACTAGAGCATCTGTTCATTTCTGCCAACTCATCAGCCTCAGGAACAGCACTGAGATGTTAAATTAACCCCCTCAAAGGTATATGATACGCTGAAGCTCTGCCAGTCCCACATATCAAAAACTGAGACTCTGGATACTTCCGTAAAAGGCTAATATGAAGACTAGTTCACTTGACCCTTTTATTCTGGTGATACATAGGTAAAGGTCTCCCTTGCTCGAAAGCCAGTCGAATCCGACTCTAGGGTTGCGGTGCTCATCTCCGTTTCAAAGCCGAAGAGCCAGCGCTGTCCAAAGACGTTTCCGTGGTCATGTGGCCGGCATGACTAAACACCGAGGCGCACGGAACGCTGTGACCTTCCCACCGAAGTGGTACCTATTTATCTACTTGCAATTTCCTGCTTTCGAACTGCTAGGTTGGCAGGAGCTGGAACTAGAGACGGGAGCTCACTCTGTCATGCGGCACACTCGGGTCTCGAACTGCTGAACTACCGACCTTCCACAGCCTGCAGTTCAGCGTCTTAACCACTTGAGCCACCGCAGCTCCTGGTGGTACATAGTCTAATAATTTATTATTATTTGTTTCAGACCTCTGGATATTACCCTTCTTCCAAAGAATTCAAAAGCATTTTAACATTCGAATCATCCTACAAAGAGACAGTGACTTGATGAAGAGCATTCAATGAACTTCACAGCCGAGAGTCAATTCATGTTTTTATTTTTCGAAGCTGTATACCAATGTCCATGCTTCCTTGCATGAAATAAGAAGGGACGCTCAAGGCAGGGTTAGGCACCCATTACTATGTGAGTGAACTGAAAAGAAGTCTGGCCACTGATATGTACAAGCACCATTCGCAAGTCACTGTGCCATGCATATATCTTGCCATTCAAAAATCTGGATACCACGTGAAACTACACTGGGACGCCAAACTTCATGTGGACCCGGGTACTGGGGGGCAGCAGCATTGCTCCCCCCCCCACACTTCTCCTAATATAAACTGACACAACAGCCAGTTGCTCCAATAGGAAAACATGGAATTTTCCTGCTAGAACAAATAACAGCTTGAGAGGGAGGTATTTAAAACAAGGAAACAGCACAGGAGGAAGAATCAATACCCTCCCCACTCTAGGGGTGCGTTCAGACGGGCAGCTAATCCCGTCATTATGCCATCTTTAATTTTATCCCGATCTTTTAAATCCATCGTAGCACGACCAGACATCCCCCTGGTGAATCACCTTACCGTGCACTGCCTCCGTTGTGGATTGTCTAGATGGCATCCACTGAAGAAGGCATGTGCGGTGGGGGGTTTAAAAAAACTTTTTGCGCATGCGCATAGGCGTCACAGCGCATCTTTATTGAAGGAGGCGTGCAGTGGTGTTTTTTTAAAAAAAACTTTTTGCGCATGCGCATGTATGTGACAGCACGTCCTTGTTGATTCGTGCATGTGTAGGGATTTTTTTAAAATGGTGCCTGTTCAGGATGGTCTGACATCAGACCACCCCTACGGGAGGATTGCGCGCTGGTGGAACGATCAGACGGATGAAAGTCCGCAGTTGTCCCGCAGGTAACCGAAAACCCCAGATTTAAAGTGCTATCTTTATACAGCTCCGAAGCGCGGAAAAACGGGATGCCCACGGAAGAGGGACATTTCCCAGATGTTTGTGTCTGGACATTACCTTTAGATCCGTGAGGCAATCGTGCCTCGCACGGATCTAAAGAGCTGTCTGATCAGACTCTAGGGCTCTGGTCACACACACTGAATAATCCACTTTCAATCTCCAACTGGATTTTAAGTGCATTGAAAGTGGATTATTTCATGTGTGTGACCGCAGCCTATGATTCCCATCTAGGTGGGACCAGTTATACACCCTATTGATAGAAATTTTAAATGATCAGAGTTCTGGTCACAGATCTTTACCATCTTACATAGTTTGGTCTTGAGCAGAAATCAGAACCCAGCTTCTCAAGTCTCACACCAGCACATACCGGCTAAAAGGAACAGATACACTGACAGCATTATAGAAACAAGAAAGAAAAAGAATTGTTCCATACGCTTTGACGATATCTTTGTGCTGTACAGGATAAAGTTGACAATGCGTATCCTAAAAGTACACAAGAATCAAAAGTTAGTTGGCAATGGAAGAGTAAAACTGGAAGAAGCCCAGGGGTCATTTCCCGCTGGAGTGCACAGGAGCGGAGCTCCAGCAGTAAAGAGCCCAGGGGGCGGGCACATGCAACAAGCCCCACCCCCTGCTCCTAGCAGCCCTCAGTCAGAGCAAGAAGCAGCCAGGAAAGTTGCAGAGCCCCCCAGCCCCAAACAGTCCAGTGGCACCTTTAAGACCAAGTTTGATTCAGGCACAAGCTCTCCCTCCTCTGCGAGGACAGATCTGCACGTTTCCCCCCCCCCAATAGCTAGCAATCCAAAACAGTCCAGTGGAGCCTGAGAGGGGGACGCCACCTTCTGACAGACTTCCATTGATGTCAGGAGGTGTGGCATATGCAAATAAGTGATGCTAATGAATTATGCTAATGAGCTCCTGCACCTCTTTTTCTACGAAATGACCCCTGGGTCTAGCTAATCAGTTTCACCCAGAAAACCCAAGAGTTGTACTGTCATTGCCCAGGAAAGTAATGTTTGACACAAGGTGGGAACAATTTAGATGTTTAAAACATAACAGTGAAACAACTGCCTCCCTTAAAACTTTTGGAAACAATCCTGCTTGCAATGAAGGACTGATTAACCAATCACTGACTCAAGCCCTCCCTGGTAGATTTAGGTAGCCGTGACAGCTGAGGACTGAGGACACAAGCTGTGGCTGCCCTTTGTCCAACGATCCTGTCCACATGTTCAGGCTGCACAACCTGAAAGTGTCCATAAGAACAGGATCGATGGAAACCTCAGGAATGACCACAGCATCTGTTTTTAATCTGCATCAAAATCAGAGCAAAATACAAGTGATTTTATCCACAAAACAGCCAAAAGATTTCCTAGTCTGTCTCATGGCCCCAACGCCAGGCTCACAAGAACTGATGGATAGGTTACCTGGTAAAAGAGACGGTATCCTTGTAGATTCTTTGCCCCAAACAACCACAAGAGTTCAGACTACAGAGCACAGCACCATGCAACTGGGACAGCATTCTCTGCACCAAAGCAAACACTTTTATGTCTCACATTGGTCCTGCAAGCCCCTTTTTTCTCTCTGTTTGCAATGGTGTGGAGAAAATTGGCCCATCCAGGGGTTTTTTTGTAGAAAAAGCCCAGCAGGAACTCATTAGCATAATAGGCCACACCCAATGGCAGAAAAACATTAGCATATTAGGCCACACCCCTGACAGCGCAGCTCCCTCCCAGGATCGGCTTCCCCAGGTGCCCCGCGGCTTCTACGGGGCCACGGGGACACAAGGGACGGAAGGTCGTTTCTGGATCGGCTTCCCCAGGCGCCCTGCACCTGTGGGGCGCCTGGGGAACCCAAGGAGGGGAGGCAGTTTAAACTGCCTTCCCTCCCTGGATCAGCTTGGCTTCCCCAGGCGCCCTGTGGCTTGCGAGGTGCCTGGGGAGCCCAGAGGGGGGGGAGGCGGCAGGTGTGGCCAACTCGGAAGCCAGCTGGAACTCCGCTCCTGCACGTTCCTGCCCCAAAATAGCCCTGGGCCCATCTATGTGGTAAGTTCCATCTATGTGCGTGGCGTCACATCCTGGCGACGGCGGTGCAACGTGTATCGCTGTCCCCCGCAGCAGGGATCCTGTGAAGACGCACGGATCCCCCGCCGCGGCTTGGCAGCCCTAATCACAACAGTAAACGAAGTTATGCCATTTGCCACATGGGCTAATCTAGAATGGCTTCTCTGCATAGTGAGTGACAAACGTAGACCAGCCCTGAGAGCATTAAAGAGTTTGGGTTCTTAAAATGTTTTTTACCTTGTACAAGTCATTTCCTCCTGTTGCTCTTCTGGCTGCGCACTCAGACCCTCCAAGTCATAGTCAGAATTACCCATGAGGAATTTATATTTCCGGATAACTGCGCTTGGGGCACGGATCCCATAAAATAGCTTTTTGTCCTTAATTGTCTAAGAATTAAAAAGAATAAGCAGAATAAAATAAAGAGAATGGTCCTGCATGGGTTGAGAGTGAGACTGGACAGGCCTTTTAAGGTTTCTGCCCTCTCTGTGCAAGACTTAAAAGGTAAAGGAAAAGGGTTTTTCTTGCTCGAAAGCCAGTCGAGTCCGACTCTAGGGTTGCGGTGTTCATCTCCGTTTCCAAGCCGAAGAACCAGCGCTGTCCGAAGACGTTCCCATGGTCATGTGGCAGGCATGACTAGACGCCGAGGTGAATGGAACGCTGTTATCTCCCCACCGAAGTGGTACCTATTTATCTACTTGCAATTTCTTGCTTTCGAACTGCTAGGTTGGTAGGAGCTGGAACTAGAGATGGGAGCTCACTCCATCATGCGGCACTCGGGTCTTGAACTGCTGAACTACCGACCTTCCAGCCTGCAGTTCAGCATCTTAACCACTTGAGCCACCGCAGCTCCTATGCAAGACTTGGCAACGTATTATTTATCCAAAGTATTTCTATCCCCCCATTTCAGGTAAGCTGTTGAAAGCAACTAATAGTTTATCAAAATTAAAATCCCAATAATAATATAATATTAAAAAAATAAAACACAAACCACAGCGAACACTCAAATTGTTAGATTCCTACCACACAGACACAAGACACAGCCAAGAAGGAAATCAGCAGGCAGAACAAAAAATTCTTTGCCTGGTACCGAAACACCAATAATAAACAGTGCGAGGCAAACCTCATGGAAGGCTTGTGACATGATTTTAATTGTAAGATGCCTTGAGCAGGACTGTGAAGATAGAAATATCCTAAATAAAGATAAGATAGAGAAAGGTGTTCCGAAGACAGGGCACCATGCCTGAAAAAGGACCATCGCCAGTCACTACCACTTCACTTCAAATGGTGTAGGAAGCCAAAAAAAGGGAAGACCTTCATGATTTGGGTCCACAAACACACTGGAAGCCAATGCAAATCTTGCACTACATAATTGTCAGGGTCTGTAGTCAGGTCACACCACACAAAGGCTTCTTTAGAAGATAAGTGTTTATCGATAGTCCAGTACTAAACATCACGTATACAGCTTGTGTCAGGAATAGCCTGTAGTATAGGGGCTTCTGACTTATAGGAATATCAAACTACCCCCCCCCACACCAATAGCTAAGCCCATGATTATGTTTCACGCGCGCAGGTCGAAGCAAGCGAGCAAGCAGGCAAAGCCGTTAAGGTTCCCAGCCGTCTAATTGCAGCTGGAGACGGCAAGGTCAAAACAGCGATAGAGCTCAATAGCAGGGCAGGGAAGCACTGGGAAAGTGGAGGAGAAAATCACCCCCACATACCAATGCTATGACAGGGCTACCTGACAATAATAACATAACTGCAATGTATCCCTGTCAGCACTGCTGCGGCTATTAGGTCAGCTGAAGTACAGTCATCTAATCCTGAAGGAACCAGAGCATGGATAGCCCTAAGGAGATTCCTTTTCAACAAAAGGTGTAGTTGGATGTGACTGCACTATTAGGGATCCAAAGATAAGACTGGATCTAAAAACACTCCCAGCCTGTGGACCTGGACTTTTTAAAGGGAACTTAACTCCATCCAGAACAGGCCCCAGCACCACCACCCAGGTCTGGAGAACATTACCACATCTAGACACCTGTTCATCACATTCACCACACTATCAATAAAATGGAGTAGAACTGAATGTCATCAGATTACGGAGGACCCCTCAGCCAAATCCATGGTTGACATAAGCAAGCACTTTCATGTAGATGTTAAACAGCACGGGAACAAGACAGAGCCTAGAGGGGGCAGGTGTCAGGTAGCCCTGTCATAGGTCTGGGATGTGGGGGGGGTGCCCTCCCGTTTTCTGTTTCAGCTCTCCCCGGCTCACCAACTGTTTGCTATCTTATGCTTGACCTTGTAGATGCTCCAGCTGGGAAATTAAATGGCTTTTTGCTTTGCCTGCTTGCTTTTGCCCGCGCACGTGAGATGTATCTATTGACTCATGCTTACGGGGGGGGGGGGGGTTTGTCCCTGGAATAAGTCAATTGGCAGCCATTCCTGACACAAGCTGTAAACGTGTCTCTATGTCCGGACCCACAGTCAAACAACAGAGCACACGCTTCTTCGAAGGTTTTACTTTATTGTTAGCACTATGGTAGCATAGACACAAGCACTGTTAGGAATGACTACATCATAGAAAGCTGAGAAAGATATAGGGTATTCGAAAGCACCCCACACACACACACCACCTATGGGCCAATCGGCCTGACTTCCGCAGGCGGGAAAGAGGACCAAGGCAGTTAGAGCCGAGACTGGGAAAGGAAACCAATCTCAGGGGTAATTGATGGGAAGACACTACACAGGCTGGCTACAGTGATAACGAGGGGGAGAAGTGAAGAGAAAGGAATGCGGCAGCAACTGGCACACAGGTCATGAAAGCGAACCTGGGCCCATAAACTATATGGAAGCACTCTAGTTCTGGATTTACCAATAAACAGTTATCTTCTTATGAAGCCCTGTGTGGTGTGACCTGACTAAGGACCCTGACAGCAGTCTGCAGCTCTGTCCTAGTCCTCTTGTACTTGATGATTTCCAAATTAAATCTTACCACAAAAGTTATCCAACTGCTGCTCTGTCCATGCTAAGGGAGGGCCATTGTCTGGACACAGTGCTCCACTGTGTCCACTACATCGGCCTCTCCAACCATGAAAACAAACCATTCTCATCAACTCCTTTGCTAAGCAGCAGGGCTCTGCATATCCCTTGACTCAAGGACCTGGTTCTGGAGGTGTTTATTTATTTGGTTCCAGAGGGGTAGCTGTGTTAGTGCGTCATTGCAAAATAAAACAGAAGTCCAGCGTACCTTGAAGGCTAACAACATTTATCTCAAGATAAGCTTTCATGAGTCGGCACTCACTGTCAGATGCATGGAATATATGTCCACAGGAGATATATTAACACTTAAAGTTACAAGAGATTGTATTTATGTCATTTGTTGGCTACTGCTCAATGAAATAAGCCCTAAAACAGGGGTCATTTCCTGCAGGAGCGCACAGGAGTGGAGCTCCAGCAGTAAAGAGCCCAGGGGGCGGGCACATGAAACAAGCCCCACCCCCTGCTCCCAGCAGCCCTCAGTCAGAGCAAGAAGCAGCCAGGTAAGCTGCAGAGCCCCCTCTGCCCCCCAGTCCAAAACGGTCAAGTGGCACCATTAAGACCAAGCTTTATTCAGGTACAAGCTCTCCCTCCTCTGTGAGGACAGATCTACACGTTCTCCCCCGCCCCCCATAGCTAACAATCCAAAACAGTCCAGTGATGCCTTCTGACACACTTCTGGTGATGTCAGGGGGTGTGACATATGCAAATGAGTTATGCTAATGAGTTATGCTAATGAGTTATGCTAATGAGTTATGCTAATGAGCTCCTGCACCTCTTTTTCTACAAAATGACCGCTGCCCTAAATGAAAATCAGTGCACACACTCAAATACTTTAAAACATTTTTAAAAACACAATAATACAAAAAAGCAATCTAAATATACAGAAATCAAATTCATCAGAGAGCTAAAAAAATAAAGCAGCTTCTGCCGAGAGCTGTCCAAAAGCATAATACAAACAGAAAGGTAATATTTTCATCTGGCACCTAAAATTTAAAAGGTTAGGTATGATGTGAATCTGTGTGAGGAGGTCATTCCACTACCAGACGGCCACTGCTGAGAAAGCTGTAACTGCTATAGCCAAGAACCTGTCCCAGGTATGGTGACCAATACAGCTGTTGTTTTATGTGATTTTAAAGCTTTATTGTAAGCCAACTCAGGCATTTTATATGGAAAGGTGGGATACAAACATGTTCAAGAAATTTTTTAAAAACTTGGAGAAATACCCATCTTACCTTGATAATGAATCCTTTCTTACGCAGTTCTTCCAAAAACTCTTCTTTCTTGTTCCTCTTGTTAATGGAGGATTTGTGATCGTCACATACTAGGACAAAATCCCATTTGTTCGGCATCTGGCCAAAGAAAACAACCAACTGAATCAAATGTATCACAATAAGAATCTTTCCTTTGCACAGACGATCTTAAAGATTCTTTCCATTTCTAGCCCTGCCGATTTCCTTCATCAGCATGCTTGTCAGGTGAAACGTAAATGACAGCTCTCCCGTCTCAGATTCTGCATCTATCATTTGCTCCACATTTTCTCAACTGGGAGGGAAGAGTGCAGCTCAAAACCACATTCAAATACCTCGGGGGCAATGCCGTACTGACTGCAAAGTCACCCCTGAACAGCCCTGAAATGACCATAAATCTATGCAGAAGGTACCATAAAACCCATTGATCAAAGGAAGCGAAAGCGGCTACAAGTGGTGGCTAAAAGTGGTGGCGGCTACAAGCATGGACGACTTCAAAAGGGAATTAGATTAGCATATGGAGCAGAGGTCCATCAGTGGCTATTAGCCACAAGGTCTAGATAGGGACTCTGGGGCAAGTGATGCTCTGTCTTCTTGGTGCTTGGGGGGGGGGGTCAACAGTGGGATGGCTTCTAATGTCCTGGCCCCACTGGTGGACCTCCTAATGGCACCTGGTATTTCTGGTCACTGTGTGATACAGAGTGTTGGACTGGATGGGCCTTTGGCCTGATCCAACATTGGCATCTCTTATGTTCTTATGAAAGCAGCATGCAATGCAGAGGGGAATTTCTGTTCCAACATGGGTTTCGTAAAACAACAGCCAGAAAAGCCAATGCAGAATCACACTGCAACCATTCTGTGTCATACATTTTACTCTACCATGGGCAAAAGCTGCAACTCCCCATTCCGTCCATGACAGGCCTGCACACACAATGGCCATGCAATGGTTTTGATCTAGAGATGAGAACCATAAACAGGCTCACTGCCGTTCTGCTTGAGCAAAACCTTGTGCAACACTTAGTGCTTTCCTCCCTGGATGCTAGTGCCCAGAAATTGGTGGCATAAAATCTTGTACAAACAGAAACACAAGTGGGGATACAATCAGTCTTACGTGGCGCAAGTGGCCAATGCTGTCTTTTTCTTACATTTCCCCTTGAGCAAGACAACTAGCACCAGGGGCAGATTAACCATGACCAGGGCTATTTTTGGGCAGGAACGCACAGGAACGGAGTTCCGGCTGGCTCCCAAGTTGGCCACATCCAGCAGGAACTCATTAGCATAATAGGCCACACCCAACAGCAGAAACTCATTAGGATTGGCTACAATTAGGGGTGTGTGGCCTAACATGCAAAGGAGTTCCTGCTACAAAAAGAGCCCTGGTTGGACAACAAAGAAGGTAAGCAGAATAAGAAGCAAAAGGTGGGTGTGGCTGGATGACCACACTTCTGGTAACATGGGGGTGTGGCCTAATATGCCAATGAGCTGTGCTGTCAGGGGGTGTGGCCTAATATGCTAATGAGTTTCTGTTGTTGGGTGTGGCCTATTATGCTAATGAGTTCCTGCTGGGCTTTTTCTACAAAAAAAGCCCTGAAGCAGACGAAGCAGGTGCATAGGGCACCAGGGCCAAAGGGGGCACCACAAAGTTGGGGGAAAGGGTGCACAACAGAGAGGTCTTTCTCACAACTGAAACGTGTAAAAAACCCAAATAGATCAGTTATGCTTCAAGAAGGACTCAACTCACTGTGTATATTAACAATTGAAGCAGACATTCTGAGAGGTATTGATTTCGAGGATGTGATCAGTGATTTTGCGAATGTGAAATGTAGAAAAATGCCTTTCAGGTCATGAATATTGGAACTTTGATACATTTAACTTGTGAAATATTAAAATAGATGTTGTATTGCATTTCTGTAGAGCTTTATGTAGCCCAGGCTTGGCTTAGTTTGTACAGTCTATTGTGTTATCATATGAATAAATTTTTGTATTGCTGCAACCTGCATTGTCTATCTGGTCAGACAGGTCAACCACTAAAATGGACTGGGTCAGTGTGGAAAGGAGGGGGGGCACCAAGACTGGTCAGGGTTTAGGGCACCAGTGAGCCTTAATCCGCCCCTGACTAGCACAAGTGGGGAATTTTGCACTGGATCCAAACCAATGACTACTTCTGTTCAACAGCAAACCTTTGTTTGCCACCATGCCCATCCTTGACTGTGGGTTGTGGCCAGTTGTGTTCCTAGACAAGGCTGCACCCCCATGCTACCAGAAGTGTGGTCATCCAGCCACACCCACCTTTGTTGTGTACATGTAAGCTATTTTATAGATATACGTTAAAGATTAACTCTGCAAGCAGCTGTGGAGAGAAAAAGAGAAAGGAGAATATCTTCCACATAACCTACTCTAAATCCTTCAGTCTTTCCAGGCGTTTGATTAAGGAGCCGCATTATATACCGAGGAGTGTCCCTGTGCCCTGGCTTTACCTTCTTCTATCTCCAGTCACTATCTCCGGCCTGTGCCCACTGCACAATAAGTGAGAGAGCTAAACTGGTGTGGAAGGTATTGGCATTATACGGCCATCTAAGTCATACCATAGAGATCCTTTGCTCTTGTTTTACTTGGCTATGGTTTCAGCACTTTTTAGGTGTATCTTAAATTACTGTTATTTTATGTTATTTGTTCATATGTTCATGATAGGTTTTTAATTGAATTGTATTTTACGAAGAGGTAGAGGAACTAGAGATCAAATTGCCAACATTCGCTGGATTATGGAGAAAGCAAGAGAGTACCAGAAAAACATCTACTTCTGCTTCATTGACTATGCTAATGCCTTTGACTGTGTGGATCACAACAAACTATGGCAGGTCCTTAAAGAGATGGGAGTACCAGACCACCTCACAGGTCTCTTGAGAAACCTGTATAAGGGTCAAGAAGCGACAGTTAGAACCGGATATAGAACAACTGATTGGTTTAGCATAGGAAAAGGAGTATGACAAGGATGTATATTGTCGCCTTGCTTATTTAATATATATGCAGAGTACATCATGCGAAATGCTGGCCTGGATGAATCACAAGCGGGAATTAAGATTACAGGGGAAAAGATCAACAACCTCAGATATGCAGACGATACCACTCTAATGGCAGAAAGTGAAGAGGACCTTAAGAGCCTCTTGCTCAGAGTAAAAGAGGAGAGTGCAAAAGTGGGCTTGAAGCTCAACATCAAAAAAACTAAGATCATGGCATCTGGCCCCATCACTCCTTGGCAAATAGAAGGGGAAGTCGTGGAAGTAGTGACAGACTTCACGTTCCTGGGATCCCAGATCACCGCAGACTGTGACAGCAGCCATGAAATTAAAAGACGCCTGCTCCTTGGGAGGAAAGCGATGGTGAATCTAAACAGCATGATAAAAAGTAGAGACATCACCCTGCCAACAAAAGTCCGCATGGTCAAAGCAATGGTATTCCCAGGAGTCATGTATCGCTGCGAGAGTTGGACTATAAGGAAGGCCGAGCACCGAAGAATAGATTCTTTTGAACTATGGTGCTGGAGAAGACTCTTGAGAGTCCCTTGGACTGCAAGGAGATCAAATCAGTCCATCCTAAAAGAAATCAACCCTGACTGTTCCCTGGAAGGCCAGATAATGAAACTGAAGCTCAGATACTTTGGCCACCAAATGAGAAGGGAGCACTCCCTGAAGAAGACCCTGATGCTGGGAAAGACTGAAGGTCAAAGAAGACGGGGACGGCAAAGGATGAGATGGTTAGACAGTGTCATAGATGCAACGAACATGAAATTGAGCAAACTTCAGAGGACGGCGGAAGACAGGAAGGCCTGGCGTGATCTGGTCCATGGGGTTGCGAAGAGTCGGACTCGACTGTGCGACTGAACAACAAAAAAGCTAAACGGGTCAACTTGGTAAATCCCTGAATGACAGACTGACCTGGAATCACCTTAACTTTTGAGGAAGACGGAGATGTGTGTAATAATATTAAAATTTTACAAGACTGACACTGTAATCCTAAATCAATTGACATAGAAATACTTTCTATTAAGCAGGTGGGTGTTTCTTGCTAGTAAATGTGCTCATGGTGAAGATATGCGCTAAATGATATCTGTATTAACAGATCCCACACCTACTTTTTGCTTCCAGTCTCCTACAAGTCTCATAGCTGCCTACTTTGCTGCTTCAGCTTGGAGGAACGTGACCACCACCAGCTGAAGCCTAGTAGTCAAAGCAACAGAATGTGGTGGTGGAACTGACTGTACCACTTTAGGCTGCAGGCAGGGGTGTGACATATGTGTCTATGTATAAAAATTAACCTCACTGGAAGTAAACAAAACAAACAAAGGAAAAAATAGCCAGGAGAAGGCTTCTGTTTTGAGCTGTTCACGTCTATGTTCATTTTCAACAGGCGAGATTATTTTGTTTTTTATTATGCAAAAGAGGTTTCATCAACGTGATCCCCACCTGTAGCCAAAATTAGTACAATCCATTCTACCCCTCAAGATTCTGCCTCTTCATTTGGCCAGATCTGTAAGTGTGCTTGTAGGATCGCCGACTCCCTTGTTGGGAAATTCCTGGTGATTTAGGAGTCGTGTATGCTCAGTGAGGAGAGGATGCCCGTAGAGTCTGTCCTCTGAAGCTGCCAGCCAGGGTAGTAATCCATTATTAGTGTAAGGACTGGGAAACAAATTATGCAACCCTAAATATACATGGTTTAGGACACAGTGTCAGACTAGGGTTGCCAAGTCTTACCTGTTGCTGGAGCAGGTGACTCCTGGCTCTCTCCTGGAGCGCGTGCGCGCCGCAACCACGTCACCCGGAAGTGACGCGATCACGCTGGGCACGCTGGGGGAGGGGGCATGACCATCTAAGGGAAAAACATAGAGTTTTCCCTCGGATGACCGTGGCCCCGCCCCCAGCGTGCCCGGCATAGTCGCGTCACTTCCGGGTGACGTGCACGTCGCGTACTTTGGGGGTGGGGTTCCCCCCGGGGCCTGATCCGCCAGCGGGGAAGGGGCCTCTGGGACGGGGGTTTCCCCATCCCCCCGGGGGGACTTGGCAAGCCTATGTCAGACCCCCAGTCCAGTTACACTCAACAACTCTCTCTCGGCAGTGATAAGTTTATTGAGTTATATGCAAGATCCAGAAAGCCACTGTGTCAGAACTAAAGATTTTTGGCAGGCACAGCTTAATATAGATAATTCAAAGAGAAGCCCCTTTTCCTTCCCCCAAGCACACGTCACATTCACACCACACCTAACTTTGCCATCCCAACCAAGTGAAAGATATATGTCTTGGTTATCTGCAGTCCAAGTTGGTACAGAGAGTCTGTCAAGGACAACTTCCCGTGGGAAAGAAAAAGGAGGGAAAGGAGGTTGACTTGTGAAGTTGTGTCTCCTAAAAGCAAAAGGTCTAAATCTCACACTCACCCACTCCACCCCCTTCCCCTTAGGAATTCCCTCCCCCCAGCAACAATGGCAACCAATGCAAGCAAAGCATAGCAGGGTTTGACACACAGCAGGGTTGGAACCCTGGGTCTGATTCTCCATTTGACTGTCATCTTAGATTACAGCAGTCTTTCCCTGGGTATTAAAGAACGTAACTTACGGGGATCAGAGCATCAGTGTCTTCTGAAGGATGGTCTCGCAAAGGTATCAATGCAATGTTATTCTAAAGAGGGAGAAAGAAATGGGGGGGGAGATTTAAAATGTGACCTTTCTTCTACAACAGTGAAACTTAGCTATACATATGAAACCTGTTATAGCAGAGTTTTCAAACAGAATTTTGCAGGGCCCATTTCTGAAGCTTACTAAGCAGGTGAAACTTTCTCCATTACTTTCTCTCCATGCTAGAACATTTCACCCGCTAAACAGCAGCAGCAAATAAATAAATAAATAAACAAATAAAATTAACCCTTCCCCCAAACTTGCAATTGCATTGTGATGGAGCAGTGCATATTTTTCAACAAATTAAACGCAGTTTGAAAAAAGGACAGCTGTGTGTGGTATGTCTACTCATCCTGCTTTTCAGGGGTCATTTCCTGCAGGACTGCACAGGAGCAGAGCTCTGGCAGTGAAGAGCCCAGGGGGCGGGCACATGCAACAAGCCCCACCCCCTGCTCCCAGCAGCCCTCAGTCAGAGCAAGAAGCAGCCAAGTAAGCTGCAGAGCTCCCCCCTCCGCCCCCCGTTCCAAAACAGTCCAGTGGCACCTTTAAGACCAAGTTTTATTCAGGTACAAGCTCTCCCTCCTCTGCCAGGACAGATCTGCACGTTCCCCCCCCCCAATAGCTAGCAATCCACAACAGTGCAGTGGAGCCTGAGCGGTGGGTGTTGCCTTCTGACACACTTCCGATGATGTCAGGGGGTGTGGCATATGCAAATGAGTCATGCTAATGAGTTATGCTAATGAGCTCCTGCACATTTTTTTCTACGAAATGACCCCTGCTGCTTTTAATAAAAAAAACCTGTTTGCACAGCAGGGATGAAGCCAGTTTTCACTTTTAACCCTCCTAAAAACTATTGTTTGGCTCCAGCCTCAGAAGTTGCCTTTGTGAAGTTAAAGGCCATTTCCACATGGCTTATTTGCCCCAGGATCTATGCTATTGAGAACCGTGGTTTTTTCCTGCTTCCCATCACATCATAGTATGGTACATTTGTACACCTCCTGGGCAATGTTCCCTCTAAGCTGTGGAGTCTTGTGAGCAAAAAATCTACTTTGTGAGCCACTGGCCGCTCACACATTTTTGTCTTAGCTCAGGAAGGATGGCTCCGGAGCAAAGTAATTTATGCTGTAGCCAAATCGCTTGCTCACAACTTTAATGCCAGTAGCTCACAACGTAGAATTTTTGCACACAAGACTCCACAGCTTAGAGGGAACATTGGTCATGGCTATGAGTTTCCGGGTCAGGGGCCTGATTGCTGGTTGCCGCTGTTGTGTTGTTGGCTGCAGGAGGGGGGGCGGGTTTCTTTGCCAGCTGGGTGTCACCGGGGGTTGCCTTCCTCCCCTCCTCTTTGAAGCCACACCAGGACCGGGATAAGATAAGGGGGGCCGGCGGGGGAGGGAGGCTGCAGGCAGCCAGAGAGCAAGCCTGGGAGCGCTGTGGGGACCGGCTTGGCAACAGGGAGGCCGCCCTGGCAAGGCCCAGCCACAGAAGCTGCCCCTGCAAGCCCTGAAACATGAGCCCTAGCCCCCAGCAGCAGCTGCCGCCTCCAGCAGCAGGAAGTACCCAGGAAGAACACAGGTCCAGGCAGGGCTCTTTTTGTAGAAAAAGCCCAGCAGGAACTCATTAGCATAATAGGCCACACCCAACAGCAGGAACTCATTAGCATATTAAGCCACACCCTGACAGCACAACTCATTAGCACATTAGGCCGCACCCCCATGTTACCAGAAGTGTGGTCATCCAGCCACACCCACCTTTTGCTTCTTATTCTGTTTACCTTGTTTGTGGTCAAAACCCAGGGCCTTTTTTGGAGCAGGAACTCCTTTGCATGTTAGGCCACACACCCCTAATGTAGCCAATCCTAATGAGTTTCTGCTGTTGGGTGTGGCCTATTATGCTAATGAGTTCCTGCTGGGCGTGGCCAACTCGGGAGCCAGCCGGAACTCTGTCCTTGTGCGTTCCTGCCCAAAAATAGCCCTGGGTCCAGGGCTTCGGGAAGCCACCCGTCTTTGGGCTGCAGGGCTTCCGCTGCCGCAAGAGGAAGCAAGGGGGTGGAGAGCGCAAAAATGGAGGTGTGGGGTGGGTGGGGGTGAGACAAGAGAGCCTGAAAATGGATGCTTGGGGTGGGTGGGGCTGTGGGGCTGGGACGAGGCCTCGGATCTGCCAGCCAGTCTTCCTCCCGGCCTGGGAAGGGGCAGCCTAGGCTGGCCTGTCCTTCTCTTTCTTTCCTAAATTTTATGTTATTTTATTAGCAGCACCCCAGCACCCCACCCCCCAAAAATTCTTGGCTACGGCCATGCCATGTGGGCTTTATTGCAATCTTTCCCAAGACCTTGGAGCACAGCAGTTTTCAGAAAGATGGGAGAAAAACCAGGGTATCCCCAGGCAGTACACAAACATATCGCGATGCTGTGAAGAAGTAGGGGAAAACCCACTTCTCAACAGCAGTGAATGCAGTGCAGATGACCTGCATGAAAGTCTCCAAAGGCTGCATAACTGCCATGGAGATGAGAAAGCCCAGATTTTCCTGCCCACACAGCAGCCGTTCCCTCTTCTGCCCTCGGGGGGGCTTTTCTGTTTTATTGTTACCCAATCAAACAACTGAATATTGTTATATAATGTTGTGACAGTACGTACATTGGGCTCTCTGAATTCCCAGCTGTCTCTTTTCTTTACAGTAAGTCTGTAGCTCCTTTCATTGAGGCAATATAAGGTGAAAGGCACATTTCCGCAACAAAAGGGGAAAAGGACTTACTTTTTAAAAGCTGCTTGAGTGTTTTCAGAATATGTGATAAATTGGGTTCAGAGTCACAGGCTAATAAACGTTACAGATTAACCAAGCATAGCTGAAAAATATATGCAGCTCACCATATTGTAAGCACCGTAAGATTATCAACAATGTTCTATAAAAGCCCATCCTAATTAGGGGCAATGTAAATATCTCTCCGTTTTACAGCTCTGGTCCTGTACAATGCTTTCTGTTTGTGCTGTTCACTGTATATGGGGCTTTTCCACATGTTTGACTTATGATCTTCTTGGGAGTCAATCTACAAAGACTGGAAGCGGTTCGGGCACAGTTCCTCTGCGTGCCTGCCCTCCCTCTGCATTTTCACAGTTGTGGAGTCAGTTTATTTTCATCTGGACCTTAGGGTTGCCATCCTCCAGGTGGGACCTGGGGATCCCCTGGAATTACAGCTTATTTATTTATTTGATATTATTTCTAGCCCTCCCGCTCCATGTTAGAGGCGGAGTCACGGAGGTGCATGGTGGCGTGAAGGCGCAGGCGCAGCGGAGCCAAATATGGACGTAGGCTGGGCCAGAACTGACACGGGCCACGCTCCAGGAGACTGCCGAGCGGGAGGACACCAGAAAAATGGGACGCAGATCCCGAAGACTATCTGAAGGAAGAATGCCAGAGCCAGGAAACAGCAACCAGCCTGCCACCTGGGTTCCGGTAGGCAGCCCCACCCCGTTACTATGTGGCCTTAGTTAAGGAATTAAAGTGCATTTGAACTTCCCTGAAAACCGCTCAGAGACCTTCGGGTCTGAGCGGTATATAAATTGAAGGTATAAATAAATAAATAAATGTAGCAGGCTCAGGGTGGGTTATAACATATTTAAAAGCATACAAAGATTTTGCATTGATACATAAATCATAAAACAGAACAATCCTAAAAACAATTTCAAGCCCATAAAAAAGGCGCCAGCTAAACAGTTCAATGAGGTGGATGGAATTTCAGATCCTACGTAGCTGTAGGTTGAGACAAAGCAAGGGAAGTCTAGATCTAGATAGGCTGGAGCAGTGGGCTGAGACAAATAAAATGAATTTCAGTAGAGATAAGTGCAAAGTCCTACACTTAGGTCCA